ATGATGGGCCGACTACTGAGGAGAATCATGATACTGCCGATTTAGACGCTACCTTCTCGTCTATCCCCGGCTTGAATGTGGACAATTCAGCAAATTTGTTTATGCAGTGGGATGCGTTCGCCATTGACGGGCAAACATTTGGCATGTCTATGGACAGCACATGACTGATAAGAGAGTGGACAACCTAGCATTCCCGCAAGGTACAGCTGTTGTTGTTGTTGAACTCAGACACTGACCCCTCGCTGAAGCGATATGCAGGTATCGGCTATAGCTAACACCTATGTGCGTGTAGATACATCTGTCCATCACATAGGGCAAATTGAGAGCCTCACCACACAGGCCTGAGACTGTTCCATTTCCCCACCCACCTTGCGATAAGAGAGGGGGACTTTGGTACCATTGTAGGAAGGGATCTTCCATTATGATAGTAAATGTGCTGCCGGGGACGGCAATCGAATCGGTCCTCAGATTAGTTGCATCAATTGAGTGATACTACATCTGCCCTTGTGGACTTAAGTTTTGGCCCAGCCAGTATAACACCATAATACCTTGCATACTAGTATATCAACGAGCAGCCCATTTACTTGCGACCTTTCTCTACTTGCATATCCCTCGGTGAGATGAGAGTAAGTTCTTCCAATGATTTACACCTTGATTAGCTTACAGCCAACCAGGGTATACCGCGCGGAAAATAAGGCAATGGATCCGGCCAGCAAGCTGAAGTCACAGAACAGCTGCAGGCCTAAGAATTTGCCGTGCTGAGCTGAAACGATCGCCCCGCCGATTAGGCTGTAGCTGAGGTCACCACACATCAACAGAACAGCGACGTCAGCCATCAGTGCTACCGCCCTGACGAGTGATCCAGGGCCTCATCCTCGGTCCGTGCCCCGGGAGCGCCAACGAACAGGGAGGCAATAGGCTCGTAGTACCTGTAAGGATACATTCTGCCGGCGCAAGCGACTGACCCCCAGAGTGGGTTCCTTTCTATGTGCTAATCGACGCGTCACGGCAGACAGATCGTGCCGTACCTTACGGCCATTAGATCCAGCAGTGGAGATGAGGTGGTACTAGCCAGAGGTCAACTGCTTCCTGCTGGCTACAATTACGTGCCAAATCGAGTGAACCCTCTTCCAGTCCGTTGATGTTTCAGTCAAATGCAAGAGGAATACAGTAAAACCTCGCTATAACGAGCCTTGCTATCACGAGAACATTGATAGTACGAGATCTTTTCCTTGTCTGAATTAATTCCCCACAAAAATACCGAGACCACTCGTTGTACCGAACCTCGCTTTTTCTGCCATATACATCTCGTAGTCTCGAGGGGATTTTATCTGGGCGGGTGATTACAGTAGGCCATGGTCGAGCTATTACGTATCCTAAATAGGGTCTCTCAATCATATGTATGTGCTTGTTCAATTTTGTCGTGCGAGGACTGAGACATTCATCCCGCCCAATGTTCAGATGGTTAGCACAATTTTCATCCGCATTAGCGCCTTGTGCATCTACTCTTGCACCTCGTACCCATATAGATAAGTCCCACCACACTAAAAAAATATACAACAGCTCTTAACATTGTCCCTATCCCGGCATGATCCTCAATATAATTTAGCGCCCGGCCGTCCGCCCCTTGCCAGGACCGCCCAGCGGCATGCCGTACCACCAAGCCACCCAATCCGTCGTCGAGCAGCCCTATATCGAGCTGTAGTGTGCTGTATAGCCACGCGTATTGTCTAAACGCAGCCGTAACCATGATCGGTCCTGTCGACCAAAAGACCTGCAGGTACGGCAGGATTATGCCCCGAGACGCGAGCCTGCCACTCCGTCGCTTAGCCTCGTAGAGCACCCACTGCAGGAATGGCGAGCCAGGCTTAGCCATAAAGAAATGATTACTGAGACCGAGTGTGCCTGCCGTCCGGGAGAATATGGCCTGCAAACCAAGTGTTTGGAGGCATTGTATATGCTCGGCTGAGCGGGGGTATACGTCCAAGTCGGAATAGATGCCACCCTCAGTGTGGACGATGAGTAGCCTCGCAAGGTCGGCTCGCTGAATATCGTGAGGATATCCGTGATACGTCGGCAACAGCCAAGTATAATTTGCCTTGATGAGCTCAAGGATATCGTCGTCAGTCCATAGCTTGACTGTGTAGTTCGAAGGCTCAAGCATAGCCCTCCATGACTCGCGAGACGCCGTGATTTCAGTGGAATATTCTTGGACGTCGGCGGTTTTCCATATTTGATGGACAATGTTTGGTATTGTGGAACCGACCACAGAACGAGGGTTATCAATACGTTCGAGCGCGTTAGGAGAACATTCATCCACTATCTGTATAGACCCTGACAAGTGTTCGGAAAAGCCAAATTCGTCGGCGTAGCTGAACTGAAGGGCAGCAAAGCTGACAACAGAGAGAGCCACCACAACGATGAGCTTTCTCATTCTTCGTGCTAAGGCGACAGCCATGGTATTCCATTTCCATGAGAGCTCGCAACCCCAGCAGTTACTGGGCCTTTAAGAATGGATCCCCGCTGGGCGCAGCATAGGGTTCAGCGCATAGCACAAAGACAAGCCATGCCTGTAATGTTTGCTGCAGTTCTGGGCCACGGTTGAGTAAACGCCTGACCCGAAAGCCCGACTCACAGAAGAGCCCCGAAGTGAACTAGTGCCGGTCCACTGCCATGTTAATCATACCCTGTTTCTACGGTGTGCGACTATTAAGAGACTGCGAATCAAACCAATAAGTGGCGTTTACCCCACGGATCGCCCAGAATCGGTATGTGTCTAGGTATTTCTACGAGTATGTTCATTTGGGATTCATGTTAGGCTCCAACTTGTCTTTGCTTTCTCTCGTTCGTCTCCGTCGTGCATGTAGGCCGTAAAAATCGGGTTACTTTATGGCTGATATTGACTGAATATCTTAGAATATCTCAATAGACACGCTTCATTTCACCTCCAAGTCTAATAGTTTTAAAAGGAAGCCTTGACACGAACCGCTCGGTTGGCAACGAGAGAAGCTGACAGACTAGGTTGAAAGTCAATGACGACCGACCAATCCCACGGAGACCATAGCTGCTCAGGATGGATCGAGATCCGTTTCACCGCATGTTCATAGAAATCCATTCTCAGACCCTCTCGCCGAACTTGCCCTCCCTAGTACAGTTACCCTAGCCTGGCCCCTTGTCCTTGGCAGTGTTCCGAACGAAACTCAGTTAGAGGAACGTGGTGAAACCCATTTCGACCCATCCCGTAGCTGGCGGGGTTGGTCTGGTTGTTCTCATTTCCAATGAAACTTCCCTAGAGCAATACATGCGGGGACTTCAATATTGGATGGATCCGTACCTCTATGGATGGCGCGTGCCATTTCCGAGGACGACCAGAGAGCGTCGGGGGAACGTCTCCGAGTATTATCAGTTTTCCCTGCCCATATATCGGGAACGCGAAACTTAGAACCCGTTGACTTCTCCGAAAGTCCGAAAATAGCGTCTGCCAATTTAGCATTGAGGTTGTTGTGTCGCATATCTATCTTTCATTCACTGTGTCGCGGCAAGCTCGAAGGTCAAAGGAGGATAAAGAGAGCATGAAATAGCTCAGTCACAAAAGATGTCCTTGGTTAATATGAATGAGCATTGATCTTCGAAAGACAACGAAAATCCAGATAAATTCTCATGAACCTCATCTAACCTGCTGCCAACATTATGGTGGTAATGTGACCCTCGAGTGCGTCCAGGTTCTCGGGCCGTGCAAGGACGAGCGTGGGCAAGCCCGCCCCTGTGGGGCTCGGACCACTGACTTCAGCCGAAGAGTTTCGCACTGGAAGTGCTCGGACCGTAGACGGATGCAATTCTCGGCTAGAGTACCACAGCTCTTATTGGCTAGGTACCTAACGTTAAGGTTAACTAACTCAACAGATCTACTAACCAACCGCCTAGAATCCGGATAGCTACTCCATATGCTCGGTTCCGTAAGGGTTGAATCCACAACGTTGGCTTGATTCTTGTATCTGAACCTGGTTAGCCAGCCATCCTTCCCCATGTTTGTCACCACTCAACAAAACAGCACACTCTAGTCCCGCCGGTCCGCAGGCGACTGGAAGCGGGAGTATTAGAAATTCAAGCCGTGTCGCGTGTTCTTCTGCCAGGTGTTCGGCGTCATTGCCCAAACCTACGGTCTCAGACAGGCGCTTGCCTGGCGCAAGATCGTCCGGTTCACATTCTCCCGCACCCACATCTGCTGCCCTACCCCAACGACACCTGCTCCTTCTTCTGCGTCGGCGGTGATCGCCTGCAGAAGTGGGCCAGCGCGTTTTGTCACCAACGTTGGTGGGCCCCATCGAGATTACGTCGATCCAAGCCTTCCTTTGACTCTCCATGCTACGAGAAGTCGACCTAAACTACGATGGTCTCCACACCGTTGTGGGACATCGCCGTTTCTAATTTGGACTTGCTTCGTTTCCCACCTCGTTCATTTCGAAGAGCGCAAAATTCTCGCTTCGGATCACACAGCTGAGCAGGCTAAGACCTAGTCCCTACTATTTGGGTAACGACGGGCAATGGTTCGCAATGTTGCACGGCTAGCGGGGCCATTCACATAGGCTCCGATAGCCAGGAGCCTCTCACCGACAACCAGGTGGCCAGCTTGGGCAGTGGTCTGTAGTGCAATGCGACCACCATCATCAGCGGCAGCGGCATTCACATCAGTCCCGCAGCCAAAAGCCTCTCAACAACCACCAGGTGGCCACTTTCGGCAGCTGACTGTAGTGAAGTGTGACCAGCATGACCTCCATCTGGTTTTTCTCCCTCCAGAAGGATGTTAAGCACCTTGATGTTGCCTTCACTTGCCGATCTCTGCATCATTCGGCTTCTAGTTTGGTTGGAAAGCACGCCGCTGATGGTGTTACGCCCTACAAGGGCAGAGTGACGAGCTTGGTAGCTTCATTCTAGAATAAGAGGGCCACTTGCGTCGAAAGATTTGCGCCCCCCCCCCCCCCCTCCCCCACGGATTCTGGGTGAGACTATGCCCGTGAATTATCATCTTTGCCCAAGAGTCCCAAGTTATGGATATGCCACTCTCGGACCTCGCCATGTGAGAAAGCCAGTTGGCCGACGCATACATCAAGAATGGGTGTCCGAGTTTCTCCATCGCTGCTCTTGCATAATTATCCTGCTGTCTCTTGGCTGCCAAGTTCGCACGGTGGACAGCATTTCCTTTGTCCAACAGACAGACAGCAATATTGTCACGTTTCCACTCTTTTCCTGGGGAGGTAAAAATAAAATGAAAACAGAAAAGAGGGCGAGAAATTGTAACGAGCTCTACATCGTTATTGATGCGCTTTCTTGTTGTTGCTCCTGTACCAAAGACGACTTGACGCATCAACCAAGTCATTCAGCCAATGGTCGGCATTCAATTCTTTTATTTAAGGGACTTGCCATTATCCACGTCATTGCAAGTTTTAAGACCATTACTTGAAAGTTTCTTTGTCACCATAAAAGCACTGCTGGTTTAAAACCAGACCACTGTTTCTGTCAGTGACTGGTAGAATTTTGCACGGCTGAATGCAGACATTTTCTTTCTAAAACGGAGATTGCCCAACTCATTGAGCATGATAAAAAAAGAAAATCGGTGCGTAACACGCGTTCCAAGTCTGTCAGAAAAGTGTTTTCGTTCCATCGATAGGGAGCTGGAGGAGGATAGAACAAGGTCCGCCTCGGACGACCTACAGTGCAGCTGCGTGCCTTCTGGAGACGTTATACATGGGCTTTCCGATACCTCTTCTAAAAGCTTGCATATGAGTTGGGGACCATTCGGCGGTAGCGTCGATTCTCGGCAGCTGCGTTTACGTCTCGGACCCGGATGCCTGCAGCCAGAATCCCCTATTGACTCCTTCAAAGACGGGTGCTGCCCTATCTTTCGGGCTAGAACAACAATGCGGACTTCCTATGCAACTCTGCGTAACGAATCAATGAATATAAATAGAACGTAAGAGGAGATTGAAACCGCACGATTTATAGGGCGCTGTGGTCATCCAGTCATGAGTTACTCGAAGAGTCTATTATTAAGCGTCGGGCTCCCATGGTAGCTTTCTGGTAGCCCAAAGCTTATCCACAAGTACGACCCATTAATCTGGCCTCCGAACTTACTGGAGCCGGGGAAACTCAACGTCTCTCTTTCTTCCCGCCTCCCGCTCCTGGCTGGGGCTTATTCTGGGCCGTATATAGCCACTCTTCGTCGACATCGATTCCCAAACATGCCTACGGAATCAGGATCAGGAATTCAACTGTCAGAAGGAGACGGCTCTAGCGCAACCGATGGCGACATAGGGTTCATCCGGCGTGGCTTCGGAGAAGTACAGGCTGTCAGGCAAGGTCTTTACCAACGGCACCTTCAGATGATCGCTCTTGCTGGCACAATTGGCACAGGTTTATTCCTCAGCTCTGGCCAAGCACTTGTGACGGCAGGCCCACTGGGTGCATTCCTTGCCTATTCTATTGTTGGCCTTGGTGTTATGAGCGTCGTCCTGTCGGTGGGAGAGATGGGTGCCTTAGTACCGCTCAGCGGTGGTCTCGTGCGTTATGCGGAATACTTCTTCGACCCAGCCATGGCTTTTGCCAATGGATGGAATCAAGTCTACTTATACTCAGTCACTCTCCCTGCTGAGATAGTGGCAGCCTCGGTTCTGATTGAATTCTGGATCATCATTAACAATGCAATCTGGATTACCGTCTTCAGCCTCCTAGTGCTTATCACTGCGCTGGTGTCTGTCAGGATCTATGGAGAGCTTGAGCTTTTATTCGCTATCTTGAAAATCCTGCTAATCGTTGGGGTGAATATCATGGCGCTAGTGATTACTTGCGGTGGAGGACCGACTGGCCAATCTATCGGTTTCAGATATTGGAGAGACCCAGGGCCTTTTGTTCAGTATCTTGGGATCAAAGGTGCTCTTGGCCGGTTTCTTGGTTTCTGGACCACTCTAGAGAATGCAATATTTGCATACTCGGGGATCCAGAATATCACGATCCCAGCGGCTGAGACCAGGTCTCCGCGACGATCAATACCACAGGCGACCAGGCGCGTCTTGTACCGTATCATCCTCTTCTATGTCCTGTCAATATTCATGATGGGTTTGGTCGTTTCGTCGAATGATCCTACTCTTCTTCAACTGACTGGCACGGCTTCTCAGTCCCCATTTGTGATCGCGGCTCATCGGGCGGGGATCAAGGTCGCACCGTCAGTCATTAACGCTATTATCATTACATCCGCCTGGTCCGCTGGCAATTCCTATATCCTTTTTGGGTCCCGCATTCTCTATGGCATGGCGGTCCATGGCCATGCTCCTGCAGTATTCAAACGGCTGAACCGGTTCTCTGTCCCTTATGTTGCTATCAGCTGCATAGGAATCTTCATGTGCTTGGGATATATGTCCCTCTCCCACTCAGCAACCGTAGTCTTTCAATGGCTGCGTGATATTGTAGCAGTTGCAACCTTGGTGGACTGGCTCATCGTCTGCATCGTCTACCTCCGATTCTACTACGGTTGCAAGAAGCAAGGAGTCGACCGACACAGAGAGCTTCCATGGGCCGCGCCCTTCCAGCCCTACTTCACCTGGGCGTCTCTGACCTTGTTCACCCTCTTGCTTATCACTGGTGGCTTCAGCACATTCATCAGCGGCCACTGGAATACCGAAACCTTTATCTCATCGTACATCAACATCCCCATCGTCCTAGGTCTATATTTGGGTTACAAATTCTGGCGGAAAACACACATTATCGCCTTGGATACTATCCCGCTGGTCGGTCTGCTTCAGTTCTATCTGTCCTACGAAGAGGTCGAACCGGAACCACAGCCGAGAAAGGGGTTGGCAAAGTTCAACATTCTTTGGTAGCTGTTTTCTTTTACTCGGTTACGACGTGGCGAAAGCTCAGGTGCAGCTACTAGTTCCGAACAGATGACGGGAGTGCATCTTGTACATACAATTCCGTGGTATGCATATTTGAAGGTAAATATGGATATTTACTACGTGATTCTGTACATCAATTATGATATATGATCCGCTGGAAACTCACCATGAGCAAACGTCAATCCATCCCTTGCTAGCTGCCGACCATAGCCCTTCACTCCTCATAGCAACGGATCCATCGGACCAGAACGAGAGGGTTTTGCTTTGAGCCATCAGTAATATCATCGCAGTCTGGTTTGAAATGAAACAAGCATACCCGATCCACCCCCTTCCGTCTACCACTCCCTTTTTCTGGTTCATTCGATGACCTTCTATTACAGTAGCCTGGCAGGTGACAAGCCCACTTCACCACATACACAAGGAGTACGAGCCAAGACACCTTACCAAAGCATTTTTGAGTGCTTACGGAACCATCCCTATGTTGTATATGACTTTAGGGTACGGGTATACTGAATCCGCCCCGGATTTTCATCACATCCGGCCCGGAAGTAGGGCACGTTCGCAGCGGGCTGCCGGGTTTCCACACTCCCGAGTCCCGGTCCGTGGATCCAACAGACGCTAAACCATGTCTGGATGGCTGATATACAATGATTCTACTTGAAAAAGTGTTGGATATACAACCATCGTTTCAGAATCTACTTGGCGCGAAATTCGTGGATCCTAAATTTTATGCTTAAAACCCTGGGACAGATTCTCAAGCAACATAGACTGCGCTCTTGCTCATTCCTCGCTTACGCATCCTGCCTCCCATTATTTCTCCATACCCTAGATATAAAAACCTACTATCTAGCTGTTCATCAAGCCAAGATGAAGAACACCGCTCTCTATGCCGATGAAAATGGAAAGCTCTGCGTTCGCCGAGATATTCCAATCCCCCGACCCAGCGATGGCGAAATCCTGATCGAAGTCCTTTCCTCAGGTGTGAATCGTTCTGATATCACGGCAGTGACGCTTCTGGGTTCTCGCTCTCGGGTCCTTGGGAATGACTTCTGTGGACGCGTTCTCGAAATTTCGGGTCTGGTAGACACCACTTTCAAACCTGGTGATCTAGTGGCCGGGTACACGATCGCAAATTTTGATCGCCCTCTCCGTTACGGGTCTCACCAATCGTACATCTCTATTCCACCAAAGAACATCTTTAAAGTGCCAGAAAATGTACCAGCTACTGATGCTGCTGGTCTTATGACTGTCGTTCAGACCGCAAACGATGCTCTCTTGAACCTGCACCTGCCTCTACCCTCAATGGCCCATGGACCAACGGATGGGGTCTTGGTAATCGCAGGTGGCGCCACGACGGTTGGTATCTCGGCTATCCAGCTTGCGTGTAATATCGGCATCAAATCTATTATAGTCACGGCTTCACCCGGGCGCCACGAGCTGCTTGAGACCCTGGGTGCAACACGCTGTTTTGACTACAGGAAAGATAGCGTTGTGCAGGACATCAGAGCGGCTGTAGAGGAAGCCGGTCATGGACCGGTGTTTGGTCTCGACGCTGCCGGTACACCTGACGCTGCAAAAATACTCTTGGACGCCTTAGCAGGCCGAGACGATATTCATCTGGCATCGGTCTCTCCTTGGGCTGGAGAACGTTTCGAATCAATCCTTGGTGGTCGTGATTACGATGTCATTTTCCATCCTCCTGGCGCGCCAGAGCCATTTATCATGCGTGCTAGACCAGCAGACGCGGCAAAGATGTGGAGCAGTCTAATGTGGGTACTTCAGCACTATGGGCAGGAGTTTAGGTTGCCGGCTATCGAGGTCTTCGAGGGAGCTGCAGAGGACGCTCTGAGAGAAGTAGAGAAAGTGGCGGATCAGGGGAAGTTTGGAAAACTTGTATTGAAGCATCCTTTGATATAATACTCAGGGTGTGCGAATCAATCTAGTTAAGATCTTGTTGGAGGTTCCAAATTGACTGCTTGTCCCGGCTGAATGGGCGTCTTCATCCTATTCGAGAATCAGTAACACAGTTTACTAATCCAGGGTTCTGTACGGAGTCTTTCTGACCGACTCGAGAGTCAAAACCACAAGAGAGTACGAGGATAATCATAGATGTAGGAAAGCATGATGAACCTATCGTAGCGCTTGTATTCAACCCAAACTCAATATTATGGCCTCGCTGAGGAAGGCAACTGCGTGATAGCTGAGCTTTTCCAATTTTCAGTAACTGTCAGAAAGCTGCACGTAGTAACATGCATTCCTGTTTTTTCTTCAGTCCAGTTTGTTGTGTTTCATGTATGAAGCGGAGGCTTGGTGACCTGCCCAGATCTGAGGTGGATTAGAGTAAGCGAGGCCCCTTGCACCAAAACCTTCTCATCAACATCAACTCGCAACCCGCTGCACTACAAAATCATCGCAAAGCCACTCCTAGGGCTCTGAAACATTCTTGTACGTACTCGATGTCTCTACCGCATCAGACTGATACAGCATCCCTTGCATGAGCCATTCCGAGTTCTCACACTTGTATTCATAGAGCGGTCAGGTGAGACAGGTGACAGTGCAAGGGACTATATCGTGCTTGGAGCACTGTACCGGATTCTAGAGTTGACTGAGCGCTTCGATCACGGTGGTCATGAAAGCGTACCTAATGGGGTTTACATGTACCAGTCGCAGGATTGAATCGATGACTTCAAGTGGTGCCCAACTATACTCACTTGGAGACATATATGGGCCACGAAGGACAAATCATTACAACAAGAAATAATTTACCAATTTCGCACAACCTCATTGATCACATAGAGTGCTCTTTTCTATGGCAGTGAGAGGCACAAAAAGGAGATTTTCATTCTTGGTTGAGATCTATTACTTTCCTTTTTAGGATTTTCCTGGTTGTCGATTACTCTCACGCCCGTGAGCCTTAACTTTGAGGCGAGGACCTGTTGATTGGCACGTTGACCCTAGGATTGGATACTATTGAGTGAGTCCTGTCAGCCTCACCAAGAAAGCCCCGATGATTCCGAGCCTCACTCCGTTAAGGTCGAATGGTAATCTCTCCTGCGATGATGTTGCAGCATGTGCCAGTGTACTAGTGCCGTAAGCAAAGAGCCCGCCCCTTGCAACCGGTTTCCTATCACTGCTTCACAAGCCCTCTTCATGTCTTAAGGCCAAACGATATTGTCAAACTTGGAAGGGATAACAGGTATGCATCACGGCAGTTGTCCTTCAGCATACAAGCCACACGCGGAGATGAAGCGAATAGAGAGCACTAAATCACCCATTCAATCCATCGCCCAATGGGAGAAACTGTGTCTATTTAGCTCACGAGATATCAGCTTATCAATCGATTGCAGCATTCTCGTATCCAACGCTACCCCTCTATCGCACAAGCCCTTTAGCCTCATTCGGGGTTAGCTGCAGAAATGTCAGCACTTACACTCTCCAATCCCGAGCAGGCGCACGCTCTCGGCAACACTAGCACAGACAGCCTCGCCTAGGCGGCGGCTATTGACCACCCCAGAGAGGGCCATACTGGACCGTCTATCGTACAGGATTTCCTATCCTGGTATGCTACGTCTGTGGCTGACAAAAGTGAGGCCCAGTGGTATTAATTCGGCAACTCCTCAGCCTTGTGTCCATGCCTCCCTTTTGATGAATTTTGTCTCTGAGTATTCCAATACGACATAATGATATAGAGGGTCAGCAAAGTAGAACGTATAAATAAAGCCGTATATATTCTCGATGTCAATATATGCAAACTAGCCTTTTCTGCATCCACTGAAACCCTTAGATATCAAGACTCACTTTAGCCGAATTCCCTGCATTCTTTCGACTTGTCCACTATGAGTCCATCCAACTCCTACAAAACTGGCGAAGGTTTTAACACCGCCCTTGGTGCCGGCTTGAACAGTACATGGTCCGGGGCAGATGCCGCCCATGGTATTGTTAACGCTGGGGTTAGGATCGAAGGGGCCGTTGCTGAGCACCAGGTTATTTCTCTATTTCTTTCCTGCACGATTTATAGATCAATGTAGTGAGTGATTATACTTTATTATAGTCCGCTGACTTCGACATAGTGGACCAAAGCGAGGGTCAACGAACAGTTGCAGAGAGCTCAGTACCCGGATGGCAAGCCTAGGGTAGATCACTCGGCGCAGTACCAGGCTGCGAACCCGGTACGTATTTGTTATATAACATGGATTGTACACTGGCTAATCTCATTTCGATAGACCCTGAGCAATCTTGGGAACGACCAGCAACTTTATAATCGGGTCAATGGGGTAAGTAATCTAGTTGTCTCATTATCCAGTCTAAGGCTATGAAAACTCACACGACTACTTTAGCAACGTTAGGAGCGCTATTGAGTACCGGAGCACTGGATGTGCTGGATATGTAAATCTGCTTGATTTCGGATAAACATGTGATTGAATTATATGGAGGATGGCTTTTACTCTTTGCTACTTTGGACATAACTAGGATAACTGTCAGATTGCATGTTATGGAATGCCACTATTTGTCTATCGGATCATCCCTTGAATGAGACCTTCCCAGGGAAACGCTAAAACCGGGGCGCCTCCACATCTATTATTGCAGGTCACTAGAGTATTATATCTCGTCGGTTTGTTGTAAACGAATGTTATTGGACACAATATCACTTTATACGCACCATATCCTCATCGTCAATATGACTGATGCCTCTAATCATCTCTCCTCCCTGGCATCCGACGAATCGTTACGGGCCACAATGATACCGGGCTCGCGACAGAGAAATATGACACAAATATCACCCCGCAGCTCGCGATAGACCAGGTTCCTGCGATATTTTTCCTCTGGAGAACCACTGAACATCCGGCGGAGGTGAACAGCGATGAAGATAAAGCGTCGGTCTTTCCAGGGATACCGCCATACGGCTCGAGTATCTGTGCCATCGATCTACCTCCGAAATCGAAAGGGGGCCTCCATCACTCGATAACCCTAGGCTATGTGATAGTTCTAAAGGGGCAGGCCAACTCAGTCTTCTTGATGATACACGGCTTCCTGTAGCAGAAGGTAGTGTGGCGGTGCAGCAGGCGTCAATGCATAGTTGGGATAACGAGATTGATGAATGGGCGCGATTGATGGGCATTATAGTTCCCGTGCAGCCTCCAATAGTTAATGGCAAGGAGCTTGAGAGTTTCTGGCCTTTCTAAGGTGAGAAGCTGGGCATAGTCTATTCTTGAATGTCCGTACCCTACAGTGCTGGAGTTCAGGTAGAAATCGAGCAAACAAGAGGCGAGCCGATTTTTCTGTTCCTGTAATAGTTCATTATATCTGTCAAAAGTCGCTTTCAAGAATGGCTTTATTGATTCTTTTCGGTTTTCATTCTTTGTCACAGCATTAGGGCTATTCTGTCTCAGGGATACATCCTGTTGACAAGTCGCGTATTCCTGACATTAGCTACTGTGCACGATTACCATAATAGCAAATTGGTTCAGGATCTACCAGGTCTTTACGGCTCAAGTTATCGATCTTTTTTCTCATCCTCCAAAATAGATCTATGATGACTTTGTGGTGATCTGCTTGGCCATTTAACGTGACTCGGCGGTTTCCCTGCCAACCCATTGCCGATGCAAGGCGATCAGGCCCCGCTATAATACCCTCGCACTTCAGTTGAATGAAGCATTGAACTCAGGTCTGTAAATGATGGTGCAAATACGTGGGGTTGCCTTTTCCTTCCCGCGAAAAAAGGAATACTGAATTTCTCTACCGTATTATGCCGAGGGCCCAGGCGGCGCTTCATGTATGTATAGTTACCTCTTTTCGCCGATAAAGTATATTGAACCGATGAATCATATTCCCGCCTTTGGTTACCCGTCGTACCGTTGTCCAGGGTGATTGTATTGCCCCTCCTTTTTTACGAAACTTTGAGAATCCCCCTGCATCAGAATTCAACCTCCTGCTTGTCTCCCTCCTGGAGTTTCCTGCAACCCTCGGGGATCATTGGTGGTCAGTACACATTTGATGACATACATATTGTAGAGGCATTTATTGCTAACCGAGACCCAGTTGCTCCCTCTGATTCTCATGATAATTCCACATTTGTGAAGTCCTGCTATCGCTATGGAGAAATACCAGAAGATCGAAAAGATTGGAGAAGGTATGCAGTTATGGGACCCGAACTCTATCAACACAAGGCTGTACGGTCGGTCTGACCTTCATATTGGTACTTAGGGACCTATGGTGTCGTCTACAAAGCTCGTGAGCTTGTTCATCCCAACCGGATCGTTGCTTTGAAGAAGGTCCGACTAGAGACCGACGACGAAGGCGTTCCTAGTACAACTATCCGTGAAATATCTTTATTGAAAGAGTTAAACCACCCTAATATCGTTAGATTGTTCAACATCCACACAGAGGGCTATAAGCTCTACCTTGTCTTTGAACATCTAGACCTCGATCTCAAGAAATATATGGACGCTCTTCCTATCAACGATGGCGGACGTGGTAGATCTCTCCCGAATGGCTTAAGCGTGGATCTGGGGCTAGGCGAAGCCATGATCAAAAGGTTCATGTCCCAGTTAATCGAAGGCATTTATTTCTGCCACAGTCGTCGGATTCTGCACCGTGATCTGAAGCCTCAAAATCTTCTGATCAATCGTGATGGCAGTCTAAAGTTAGCCGATTTTGGATTAGCAAGAGCTTTCGGTGTTCCTTTGAGAACTTATACGCACGAGGTATCGTCTTCTTGTCCTGAATCCCATCGCCAAATAGTAACTCATCGTAATGCAGGTCGTCACGCTATGGTATCGCTCTCCGGAGATTCTTCTCGGGGGTCCCCAATATTCAACGGCAGTGGATATGTGGTCATGTGGCGCTATCTTCGCGGAGATGTGCATGCGCAAGCCCCTGTTTCCTGGGGATTCGGAGATCGATCAGATTTTCAAGATTTTCCGGTACGGTGTCCTGACCACATGGAAGTATTGTCGCAAGCTAATCTCATCGAATTTCTTATAGCCTACTTGGCACCCCCGATGAGGATTCTTGGCCAGGCGTTACTTCCTTCCCAGACTATAAGCCATCATTCCCCAAGTGGAAGCGCGACAAGGACAACGCTCTTATTCCCGGATTGGAAAAGAATGGGTTACGTCTTTTGGATGCTCTTCTTGAATTTGATCCGTCACAGAGGATGTCTGCCAAGCAGGCTCGCTCCCACCCCTACTTCCGGCATGGACGCTCAGCTCATAAAGAGTGATTTGTGGGAAATTGGTATCTGGTGAATAAGGCTGTGTATGCCGGGCTAATTGGGAGCCACTAGATCAAGGCATGGATATGTCGATCCCGGAAATTCTCTTTACTTTAATTGATACGTTTCTATCTTGCATCTGCGAGTTTGTAAGTATCGATGTTATCAGGAAGATAATACGAAATCAAAGGAAGGTTAAGACCGGTGATGCCCAAATTAATGTTTCACTTATCTCAATTACGCCGTGCAGCTCGCAGAAATCTCCGTCTCTGTCAGTAGCGGGCTTAAGGTCTTTGTCGGAAAACTGACAGTGATCGTGGTTGACTCTTGGTAACCTCAAAAATTGTAAAGGGACGACAAGCTTTACTCATAAATCAAGTACGAAGACATGTAGAAATGCAGAAATGTCCTTGGGAAGAGCGAGGCATGCTAGAATCGGTCATGGCAGACTCTCATAGACTAAGCTCAGTCTATGAAGACACCTAATTCGAGCCATGCCTCACTCTCTAGTCACTGTGCATTTACCCCTTTCTAACGTGTTTCCCAATCAGTGGGATATTGCTTTGCCTTCCTGCATATTCTGGTGGTAGCGTTCGCAGTTTGGGGAAGAAATAGTCATCTCTTACTGGATCTCTCGGGCACAGCCTTACTCGCCTCATGGCTGTGTTAGAAATGACTGGAGCTCTTTTCCATACTCATAAGTACTTTCAAGTGGTATCGATAATCTGTCAAGTTCTCGACTCCTAAAGAGTAATGATCAAAACTCCCGATAAGGCTCTGTCAGGCAGCAGGCCCGTATTTAGTCACACCAACCCACATCGTTGCGCATGAGTAGAAAATGCTACTATGAAAAGAAGCGTGAGAATACCGAACTTATGAGCTAACATCCCAATGCATAATAGTACAGCCTTAATATTCATTTAGATGTAAATCGTAATAAAAGAAACCGTATATTATAGTAAATCACGAGTGCAGTCTTCACACATCTTGCCTATGAATTACCCTAATAACCCACAACGACTACCATAGATCCTTGCACTGGCCCTAAACGGAAGGCAATTCCCGAGATGAAACGGGACAGTCAGTGTCGGGTTTCTTCCCTTAAATTGATAGGTCATTTGGCCAAGAGTATCCCGCAGGAAAGCTGAATAAGGCCTGATTCTTTACCTCAGGCATCAATACTCCGTATAAACTAAACTCTAAATTAGAGGGTTTCGGAAGGGAAATTCTAACTAATTAAATCTTTTTAGGTAAGTCGGGTTTCAAATAAGGTGCCCTTCTCGAACACTGCCACTAAACACCTTCCATTAAGAGACATTCGAGGCTGAAAAAATAATATCCTGGTAAACATTCCATGTTCTAGGGAGAGGAGCCAGTTCCTTGTCTAAGATTCAAGAACGACCGTGATCCCGCTTAGTTAAGCATCGCGCTAGGAATTTTTTTCGTTCTAGCCACACGTGTAGCCCTTATCTGTGGCGTGGCGGGACCATGGTTCTTGAATCAGGGGAGTCTTGGCTGTTATCGTGAGGGTTGCAGCGATGAGGATGCAAAACGGCTGAGGTGGAGTGAATACGGGATACGAGAGCAAAAATGCATCACAAGGCTATAGGTATCTGTCTTGATTCCTCGTATGAGCCCCTTGTTAGTGACAGATCTCCCCATCAGCCTTTCCAGGGTTCCGTCTGTGTACTTGGTAGCAGTCAGGACTCAGTTATGGAGCCGGTGGGTCTGACATGGTTGTTGGTGCCTTGTTACGGCATCGATTGGCAGACGATCGACACTACAATGGTGAAACATGGGACAACCTACGGACAGATCAATGGAACATAATGAAACGGATGGAGCTGGGTCCGTCAAGGACAGCCTAACGGGCCGTTCGAAATTGATATAAAAGATCGACTTGCGGTCGCCGAGTCGATAGTCTTCTCGAAAACCAACGTCCTTCTTTCTATCTCCCATACGCTCGCTATAAGCCCTGGCGGCTGTGAATCATTATTTCTTGGTCACTCTTTAGCATCTACTTCTGTGTTTAGCAGCTTTATCAATTGGTTTTTGCATCCCAGCGATCAACATGCGTTTCTTCCAGACCCTCGTTGCTCTCCCCCTTATTGCAGGCGCCGTCGCCAGCCCTCTCGACGCACGCGCTACCCTCGAAAACTGCACCCCTGAGAGAAAGCAAATGATCGACAACGCACTGTCCCAGGCGGCAAAGATGGCCCAAGCCGGAGCGAACCTCATACGCACCAATTCCGACTACTCGTCCAACCTATTCCAGAGCTTCTTCAAGACCAACGATGCCCAGTCACGCAACCGCGTCGCGAGAGTCTTGGAGACGATCGCCGCGGAGGCCACGAATGGAAACCAGGGCGTCGTGACCTACTACTGCACTCCGGAGGGCATCAACTGCGTTGACACCCACGCTTTCACCATGACTGCCTACGGCGAGACGGACGGAACCTACGGACGTATCCGGACCTGCCCTGCATACTTCACCAAGTTCCCCACCTGGTCGAACACCTGCAATGTTCTGGATCAGGCTACCTCGAGCTTGCACGAGATGGCCCATACCAAGGGCATCTTTGGTCCTGAAACATATGGCTATGATGCTGTGCATAGTTTAAACTCCGCTGCTGCTCTTGAGAATGCGGAGAGCTATGCTTTCTTCTCCAAATGTAAGTGTTCCCAGTAGTTTCCCTGAAAAGAATGATACTAACGTGATTGCAGCTGCTTTCCTCAACTGCGATGTTACCAACTAAGCAGTTTCCGTTGAAAACAAAACGTGCATCGTGGAGCCATTATTATCGGGGTTAAGGTGGTGTCAAGAGTGGAGTCGGGGTTGCATTTGATTATCTTTGTACATGGTTATTCCGAAGCTTCATGGCTTGGCTCCATCTTTTCATTCTGTAACTGTTAGTCATGTACATATAACACGGGGAAGAATACGTACGTTGTATCAAGTCCAAGGGCTCTGTAATCAGTTAGTTCTCTTGGTTAGAGGGCGAACTTTCCACAGTGCGTAGACTCCACTAGTGACAGACAGCAATGCGGTAACACCACAGAGGTCCGAAAGACTATCAAGTGTCATCACAAAGCAACAGTTCACGGTAGAAAAGCCAGGTCTTTCGAGTACCTATACCCATTGTATACTTCCAATTCCTCAAAAGCTACTTGTATTATTATGGTTCACAGTTTTTACAGTGAGCTGCGGAATAAGCTTTCCTCCATGGAGTATTATAGTATTAGCCACAGACTACAAACCAACCCATTGCTGGCACTACTTTAGAACTCCTGCTTTAGGTCCAATAGACAGGCTGCAGAGGTGGAGGTATGCTTACCATCCTCCGCAGAACCCCTACTGGACAAATCAGGTCAATGATCAAGAAAGATCGGGAAAGACCGACTGATACATCTGGGTTTCGGCTGATATGCAACTTGCGTCTGCAGTGACGATCTATCGATAGTCCTCGGCTGCCTTGCTTGCCCCACAGCCTGCCTTGCATTAGGGAGTTCATTGGTTCTGCGCAATAGATGGATACACCGCTGAAGTTCATGAATTAGGCGCAGAAAATAGCGCAGACGTCCTTGGTCGACACCCCGACCGCAGGGGTATATAAAAGGGAGGGAAAGACCGTGGTAAACTGAATCCAAGCTTATGCCTAGACACTTCCTCACAATGGTTTCATCCAAGAGTCTCTCTCTCGCTCTTCTCTCCTTCATGGTTCCAGCTCTGGCACTGGACCCGGTATGCTTGACGTCCTTTCTGTCCGTTGAACTTCATTCGAGAACTCCACTAACTCTCACTCTGCAAAGGCCACTATTTGGTCGAAAGAGCCCTGCACTGGAGAATCGGCAGAAATCCCATCCGACAACAAATGCACTCCCGTGCCCGAGCCGTTGTACGTAGACACAGCGTCAGGAGGTAGAGAAAGTCAAATCACTCACAAATTGATAGGGCTGGCAAAGTGACTGCCGTTACCGTCCCAGAAAATGTTGTGTGTAACTTCTTCAGGTGGGCATTCTCAGACTCTACCTAATACGAAAGAGGTGTGCTAACCCGTTGACACGAAGGGATGAAAATTGCCAGGAGCCAATTTTGTACTCTGTGGAGGACCCTGGTATCTGCACATTCAGCGAGTGGGATGTCAATGACAACAAGGTCAGCAATGAGTCAGCTAGCGTCCAGTGCTATGACAGCACCGACTAGAGCACTGCTCATGACATGCTATGAGGGTAGTATTGATATATTCTGCGAGCCTTACACTCGAGAGACATTCTCGTTTGAGCGCATAGATAATAAAACGATTTACAATTCATCAATTTTAAGCGAATTCAATTTGAGAGGATCCTCATGAGAAGGAATCTGCCACGCCTCTTCGGGTCTGGGATACTATTTCCAATGGCAGCTTTATATCCCAGGGGGATGCGGGAGGTACTACGCTGCCCCTTGAATCATTTTTATCTTTCCTTAAAAGTAAATAAAATTATAGACAATCCGCCCATCCTATCCATCAGATCCTGTATATTGAACTACTTGCTTCCACTATAGCCGAGAAAAAGGAAAAGCAAACAAGGCCCCGGAGGGCTCGGGGGAGTGCCCGTGATATTCAGACGCCTATTCCTGATTGTGAGAACTCCTACGATCCTAGCACCCAGGGGGTAAAGTTAAAGGAGGCTATTTTACCCCGAACGCAGGCGATTACGACTCAGATGGAGAAACGGACATGGATTTGAACAATGCCTCCGAGCTGGAACTACCGGACGAGGATCAAGTAGATCCGCCGGGTGATTGAGTGAAAAATAGAGTTTTCCAAATATAACCATATCTTCAAAACCTCCGGCGATCGCATTTCGGCTCAATCGCACCAAGCACATACTTTGTATATGGTGACATCTACTACTACAGGTTTGTAACTAGCGGAAGGTCTCGGCATTGTACTTAAGGCTCTTGGATCCGCTTGTTTCATCGTGTGTTAGAGGTCTGACTTTTATGGGATGGAGCGGTAGGATGAGGTGGTATATATTGCTAATATCCATCCCCACTGTCCGGCTTTCGGAACCACGTTATGCAGCCATCGTGTACAATCAACTTGTAAAATAACAAAGACAGAGATCACATCAAAATAAATCTAGCGATGTCAAGATACATGGTTACATTACTAGTCGATCTTTTGTTTAGTTGTGGCTATTTAGGGACCATGGAGCACTTGGGCTCAATGGAATGAAATATATATACTAGTAGTGGAAGGGAATAGCACTACTTTGTTTGAAAGAAATCGATACCCATTCGATACGGTGGGTCAAAAATGTTATTCTTATGTTGCTATAATTTATTTAATAATTTCTTTTTTTAAAAAAAAAAAAAAATAAATAAATAAATATAAAAATAAATAAATAAAAAGCTTAGTCTCTCTGACCAGTTGAGCGAGTTAAGTAGCAGCATATCAAACAAAAAAAGAGTACAGACAGCCGGACTTTCTGTGTTGATGCCTTTCTGGGTTTAGTGGGTTTGCTAACCAGAAATGGAATGCCAAACCACCTGCAGCGGGTTTGTTGAATGTCGCACGTGATTGAGAGTCACATGAGCGACCCTTGAAGAAGAGGCGCTATTCCCAAACAGATATTCCTGACGCTAGGTAATTTCAGGCACTCACAGGTCCAACGGCGACGGGATTCGGAAGTAACTCTTTCGATCTGGTTCGCTATAAGGGCTGTAGCCTATTAATGTGAATAACTACAGAGTATATCGGCTCTTCGCGAACAGTAGGAAAGGTACCAACTACCAAGTCCAAAGACCGTGACAGGGTTGGTCAAGTAGAAGAACAAGTTGAGGACAAATGTCTGGGATAATGCTTAAAAAGGAAGCTTAGAAGAACTCCGACGTGACTGCTCAAAGTTCTCTCCTGGTAGCTGTTCAACGCCATGTTTACATTGCAATTCTCATGACCCCACACTGATTGAATAATAGTTGTCCTCCAGCGTCCCACAACCTCATTGGAACACATCGCCGTGCGCAAGTAACAACAATGAGATGTCATCTCATGACATACGGAGGATAGTTTGAACCTCGGCTTCAGAGGGATGAGAGTCGAGTGCAGAAAAGAAAAGGAAAGGAGGATAGGTTCTAGATTAATGCGGGGGAGTGGTTGTGATGTCTGATCCTAAGGTATGAGACTGATACGAACATCGAAAGATGATTGGGTGGGTTGGGGTTTGTTCTGAAAGAGGGATAGTCGGTGGTGGAAGGGAAGATTTTACGATTGGAAGATAATGTGGGATAGGGCTAACGCTCTCTGCCTGAGCCCTCAGGCGGGAACCGGTTGTATACTGACCGCCCAGCGGGTTAAGTTAATGGGTAACGTAGATATAATTCGAAGCTTCAGAGTGATGGTGAAGGGAATTTTTTTCGAAAGAAATACTCCTTGACCATATCCAAAACCAGCCCATGAGGTAAACGGCTCATATTACCCCATGGGAGGAGGATACTGCACCGTCATGGTTGGGTGGTGATAGGTCATGTGATATTGAATCACATGACTGCTGGACCCGTTAAGCGAGACTTGGCAGAAATCGGAATGCACACCAAAATTGCCCATCCTCACAACCACCCGAACAACATCGCAGCTTTCGAGGTCGACAACTAATACGCCAAAATGGGTCGCGTTCGCACAAAGACCGTCAAGCGGTCCGCCAAGGTCATCATTGAGCGTTACTACCCTAAGCTCACCCTTGACTTCGAGGTCAACAAGAAGCTTTGCGATGAGGTGGCCATCATTGCCAGCAAGCGCCTGCGCAACAAGGTAAATCTCATCGACGGTGGACCCCACGAGAATCATCGAGACTGACGAAGAATTTTTTTTCGATTAGATTGCCGGATACACCACTCACTTGTATGATTTCCCGTGTGCCTGAAATGACGAATATGGACTGGTCTCGAAAGAAAGAAACACCCCAACGACTAACCCGACTTTTTTCCAACTTAATAGGATGAAGCGTATCCAGCGCGGCCCTGTTCGTGGTATCTCCTTCAAGCTCCAGGAGGAGGAGCGTGAGCGTAAGGATCAATACGTTCCTGAGGTCTCCGCTCTCGACTTCAGCCAGCACTCCGAGACTGGCAAGCTCGACGTTGACCAGGACACCAAGGATCTCCTTAAGAGCATTGGTGTATGTGATGGATTTCTCTTCTTCCTTCCGGATCCCGGATGATGGTGGCTAACGCAACCAACCACAGTTCGATGCTATCCCTACCAACGTCATCCAGGTTTCCCAGCAGCAGGTCTCCGACCGTCCCCGCCGCTTCGTCCGGTAAATAGTTAGTCGTGCAGGATGACGGATAAGGGAACACCAAAAAAATGACATGAAACGGTTGACATCCCTCAGGGAATGGTGGTGGTGACGATGCTACTTTCAAGGATGGGTAATGGCGTCAAAAGACTTCAGGAATAGTTACTTTGGGGAAATAGGTTCCGGGCATCTTTAGGATGAGAAATGATACGCCAGGCCTTTTCTCGCATTTCTGTCATGTTTTAGCAGTTCTGTAAATCGCTGAATTGCACCCCTGGGCAAAGAATGCTTCTTTTGTCACGATCAAGACATCTCGTGCCGCCACCATTCTCTTCGTGCTCTTAGAGATCCGGTCAATATGAGCCATTATCCACGAAGATAGTTGTTTTCCCCTGCGTATACTCTGTAGTTCGATGGAGAGACTGGTCTTGTCATGACCTCTCCGGTTGACTTCACTGTGCCCAAATCCGACTTACCCCTCGTGATCAACGGTGTATCCGGAGTTGTGAATGCCATGTAGCCAAGACCTCATATGGAGGGCGATATCATGTACTATGTTGAAAAATATGTGCTTTGATAGTATTGCAAGGTATCTAACTACTGTGGTGATAAGCCACTATATGTGCATTAGGATTGACCATGGTTTGGCATGTTTCGACAGAGCAGTCATGGAGGTCTTATCACAACGACATCTCACTTATATATATATATTGAACTTTTTCAGGTTCTCCGCATCACTATTGCCAGTAACCCCCTTCCAAACGCGACACTCAATGCTTATATGCTCTGAGTGCCTTAAGTTGAAAGCTAAATCTGGTATATTCCATTCACTCCAAGATAATCTACTATACTTTCTACTTACCAGCACCATTTCTTCTTGTCTTCTCCATGGCCTTCGATTCACACTTTACCCTAATCGGGTCTCGGCACGTGCCAAGCTTTTGTCGAGGAACATGTGACTACGCAGATCATGGTTATCTAAGCCACTCTACGATTAACTAACTAGTTAGTTATGCTTCCTCTTGCCTGTATAATCTTCTGTGATTAATGATATTATCGTATTCATCCATGAATGTCATACAACTAATGATATACCTGACCGTTGAACCGTCAGGCGCGATATTATCCATATTAGTATCCTGTTCCTTGATTATAAGCGATTGATGCGTTAGACAGTCTGCGAGGGCGCATGGACGTTCGGTTCAACCACAAGTGGTTTTTTCAGTTCAACAGGAGTGTCTGCTTTAGGTTCTGACTGGATCTCCAAGGGAGTTACCTCAGGGGATAATGTGCCATGTGGCTTGCTCTCTACCCCAGCCGGTGTTGGGGTACGGTTTTGTGATCGCTCCCCTTCCGCATTGGCAGGTGTTGCTGTTGGCTCGTCGGGTATATTGATGATTGTTTCGGCAGGGGGCTGGGCGGGCAGCGAGACACTTGATTCTCCATGCAGTTCAGCCGGAAAATGATGAGCAGTTGGTTGAACCCCCTCCGGAGACAACTCCGCCGGTGATTGATTCTCTGGCCCTGTAGGCAACTCCAGGCCTTGGGGAGCCGGGTCCAAACTTCGGGTGGTCGGCTCTGAATGGGAAGTCGCTTCCCTTGTTTGGAATGAACTTGATTGGAGCAGCTGCAGGAGAGGCGTAGCCTCCGATGGTGGTGGTATCTCTCCGCTTAACAATTGACTCGCACTGACTTTGCACTTATAGAGTTTCTTGTTTGCGTGCCTTCGCTCCACCATCAAGCCCCCTTCAATGCTAACACCACCGAAGAGCCCCTTGGTTTTGGAATAGGCGTACATCGATGCGATGCCCTCCGTATTAGCACTGGTAGTGAATTCAGCATTTCTTCCGACCGGCCCGAACGCAATCGAAATGTTCGCGCCCAAGGTCAAGCTTCCCATCCGCAAAAAGGAGCGAAGCCCAGCATCGTCGAGGATAAAGACAAAGTCAGTCAATTCGAACCCCCATTGACCACCGAATCCGACTCCGGCTAATGAAATCGCGGACGGGGCAGACCAGCTGCCGTTGTCCAGTCTTGCGATGACTAGACCGGAGCCGAAGCGGGCGGATCCTAGCATCCCAGCTTTGGCTACTGTGCATATCACCAGACCCTGAACAACAAGTCAGAAAATTTGTTCATCTACCACCAATGATTGTTTCCCTACCTTGGTATTGGCAAGCACTCTTTCTGGGAGCTCTTTCCCAGGATTTCCGAAGTACGGTGCTGTTAAGAAGGATTCAAGAATCTGGCTTGCTTTCTTGCATTCGCCTAATGCGATGTCAATTTATCGTCCAAATTCCATAGGCACACTCGGCTAATGAAGGTACCTACTGCGCAAGGAGGCAGGTAGCGGGTTGTGCAATCCCCTCGGCATGTTAACGATGACTCTGGCCGCTACTTAGAGTATGTTCAGTGTCCGTCTGAAAAAGCTCTCGGGGTGTCTGCGACAGGGACTGTCATATTAATGAGATGCATTCCTGACGAGGCAGAATCAAGGGGGAAGGCTAACGTCGCGTGTGTTCCCTAGTGTGAATATCGGCCATAGCCACCCGTATATCGTCTTGGCTTCGGCATCATCTCCACATTTCTAAACTGTTCGGGTTTAGTGCTTACGCCAAGATGCGAGCTAAATCCCTGGATCTCGTCCTGCAATTTTCTTCATCCTGTTCGTCACCCGGCGATAATGACAGATACTAACCCTGTCCGTGCACTCTCTCAATTTTTGAATGTATACATACAGTAGCAGATGCTGTCTACTTCAGCGCGTAAATACTTAACATATCCGCTCCTCTTCCTGCCTCGTATGATCGAGCAGGCTTTCGATATTGCAGCCTTTTAAACTGACCGGGTAGCTGATGGACCTGATTGACTTCAGCCTCTTCCCCAATATTCTTGATTCCGTCACCTCCCCGCGCCAGGAGATCCCAATGGACTCCATTGAGTCCCCAAGGTGGACCGGGCTGAGTCGGATCCTTGTACATGGGAAACTCCAGACAAACGAGGATTCCGTCGGGAGCCACTACCTGGCTCATGCGCGCTGCCCACTGCGGACGCATTTGCGGGTGCAAAGCACAAAGGAACTGCCCCAGTCAGTCTCATCCTCACAGTCACTCTCAAACAGGACTTTCTGAGATGTAAATACCGTATAATCGTAGACCAGATCGAACTTGACATCGCCATTGGCTGAGATCTGTCGCTCCCAGTCGGGTTTGAAAAAATCCCCCTGAATAAAACTAGCATTGCCCGGTGGCACTGGCCCCGTCCATGCCAACCCGAAGTTATACTCTTGCGGCCGTTGCATTTCGGACACCGCATACTTCTCCGCGGTGGATACCCCAGTTGCGGATATCTCGAGCCCATAGGCATCGAAACCGTGCAGGGCGAGCATGATTACGTCATAGCCGCGTCCGCAACCCTGATATTGTAGATGGGTCACTAAACTGCACGGAGAATATCGAGAGGATGAAGCTCATACAGGGACGAGTGCCTTCTTTCGCTGACCGTTTGGCTTTAAAGGTTGGAAGATCGCCTTATCCTTCTCTTGCTCGATTAGATCAATCAGTGCAGGGGAGGGTTTTCCCCGATCCCAGAGATCGCTCTCGTTTGAGTCCCAGAGGGAGGACCAGCCGGATCCGTGCTCTTCTAACGGCCTGAAGGAGTTAGGAATCTGAGCCATTGGATATATTGTGAGAGTAGAATGTTCGCATACCGGTCATGAAAGTGGCCGATGAGTCGGCCTTGGACTACAGGTGTTGCAGGTTCTTGTGTGGGACTCATTGCAACTGAACAAGGGACAAGGTAAACTTCTCTAATAGAATATGTATTGAGTTTCTACGGTCTGGTCTCGAATGGCTTTTTATACATACGTTCAGGTGGGGTGGCATGAATAAGAAAAGAGTCTAACTATCAATTTGCCAATGTGGGTCTTCTCTTGGCAAGCTTTATTTCGGTCACTGAGTCGTGGCTGCGATCGCCGACGGCATTTCGGCGTTTGAAAGATGCATACCTAACGCTGATACTGGTCCTCGCAAGATAGTATAAGCTTCTGCCCAAGCAACCAGCTTGGGATTGTTACCACCGACCTCTTCAGTCGCTACAACCTCTAGCAGAATTCTCGCCATGGTCTTGAAGTGAAAACAAATGCTATTGCGATATGCTAGATGCAACACGAAACGCTCTCATTCATTCCCCTATGCTGCCACCTGTAACACCGCACGACCGGCCACCTGACCAGCCTTCAGCTTCTCGATCCACGAATCCAAGTCTTCCAATTTCCCCCTTGACAGAATTGGCTGTTTTCGACTTAGCATGCATAGCCCGAACTCGTGCCGTAGGAGAAACTTACATGTACAATGCCCCGCGCCGTAAAATCAAGCGCCTCCTCTACGTCTTTCAAACTCCCAGTGATGTTACCGACAATATTTAATCGTCTCAACGCCATGACGAGCGGTGGCGCGCCTGCGAGAATGGAAGGATCATTAGGGAGACCGACCACCACCATTGTGCCTCCGGGCCGGAGGTACATGGGCGCCCATTCGTAGACGGTCTTGCTAGCCGCCGTCACGACCACGCCGTGTGCGCCGTGCTTCGTGATCCTCATAACCTCATCCTTCAGGTCCGCAGGGGCTTTGAAATTCTGGAAATCAATGTATGCTTCGGCCCCGAGCTTCTCACAAAGGTCCCGCTTCTCGTCTCCGCCATCAATAGCGAGGACTCGCATGCCCATGGCGCGCGCATACTGGATAGCCAGATGACCCAGTCCGCCTCCAGCGCCGGGAAGCACAAGCCATTGACCAGATTTGACGGCAGACCTAAAGCAAAGGAATCTGGTCAACTCCTACACATCCAACAAAAAAAAAAAAGAATGGGAACACGTACCTCTTACAAGCCGTATAAGCGGTGACACCTCCACACATAATCGGACCAGCTTCCTCATCCGAAACACCCTCCGGGATCTTCGACGTGTACCTCCCATCCACAAGACAATACTCTTGGAACGTCCCTGGGGCTGAAAACCCACTATTTATCTGCTTCTCACAATGCACCTCATCCACCCCATTGAGGCAAAACTCGCATTCCCCACAGGTACTCGCAATCCACTTAATGCCCGCCCGATCACCGACCTTCCACCGCTTCTGCATGCCCTCGCCGACGGCGACAACAACGCCGGCCCCTTCGTGTCCCGCGATCCCCTGGCTCTGGGGGAGCATGTTCACCCCGAAATCCTTCCAGTCGTCGTGCAGGAGGGACTTGTCTGAGCCGCAGACTCCAGTCCAGTTGATTTTTACCAGGATCTGGCCCGGCCCGGGTTGCGGGACGTCGATGTTCTCGATGGTCGTTGTGGCGGACTCACCTGTGCCATGACGGATGGCGGCTCGTTGGCGTGTTGGGATCGCTGGGATTGTCATCGTGATGATATGTTTGTTTCAACGTACAACATACAACAGAAAAAGCTATGTAAAACGGGATATACAACGCAATTCACACTCAATGTTCTTGTTCAACAACAAAATAATAGAAAAAGAAGAAAACAACCCGTCAGCAGCAGTTAGGTGAGGTAGTGAAAATGAGGGGTACTCTCACCACCACCCCAGCTATAAATACTCCACTCCGCACCACACACGTGAGACAACTCTGCATACCCATCGACAGGGATACTGATAACGACGCCGTACTCTATCCATAGAGATCGCTATGTATGCGGGGAACCCCGGACTTTAATATCGCACCTAATGAACCTCCACCAAACGGTGCTCCACTTGGCTTGCATCTCATCCAATCCCGTTCCACGGTGAGCGAGTATAGTACTGTTGTGGCGTCATCGGGCGTCGGTTTCTCCGCACGGGGATCTTAGCGAGCTTTCTTATCGAAATTGGAAGTTTGGGATTGGTTAGGAATGGGCTTGAGCTTGGACTATTTTCTGGGGTTTTGTGCTTTGACGTAGATTAGGGTTGGGGTTGTCGATTGTGCCGAGGTGTGTTTAGCTTAGTTTTTGGGGTTGGGGTTGAGTTCGAAGGTTATGAGGGAAGGTGGTTAGGTACTGATCACCTTAGCGTACAGACAGAATGATTAGATAAATGTAGGAATGTGGCGCACGAAGGGAATGAATGGGAGTCCCAACCTGCTTCCTATGTACGGTAGCTTCAAGTATGCCCAATGACCAAACCAACTTTAGAGCCCACAACCACAAGTTAGAGGAACTTTTTCGTCTGCATAGCTATACGTGCCATAGCTCGGCTCTAACAGGCCAATAGAATTTTGATTGTTTGAACCACGAGCCAGACCGGCAATCCAATACTGAGTTATACAATACCTTGATCGAGATAATCTATCGCCATTACTTAAACAATTCAATGCAAGTATTAAAGTACTCGATACAGACCCTTGGCACACAGGTTTAGATCAATCCATCCCGACAGAACCTGGATTTACCATGCATGGATCCACTGGCCCGTTTATTATTTACTCTCCTTGAGTAATAAAGCAGGACAGCCTATGGCCATGTCTAGACAATTACATCGCATGGCGCTATATCCCTCTGTATTCCACTGGCTGGTAACATGGACAGCCAACGATGTGGTTTGATGTTATGGAGTATATGGTTATTTGCCTTATGCAGGTTTGAGGGAGAGCTGAGGGAGGAGAGCTTACTTGTAGTATTTTGGATGTTGAGGGTTTAGTAATAAAATTGCTAGATCTATGTCGCCCTTAACGTGTAGGGAGTTATCGATTGTGACTCATTCATTAGATTCCATATTCACGCTAAACATAATTGATAATGGATTGTCAGGATGTGAAGGCTTACGCGCCCGCTCACGAGATCCACGCCTAGCTGGAATCTGTCGCTGACAAACATGACCTGAGAAAGTTTATCCGATTTAATCAGCGCTGTGTTTCGGCGGTATGGAATGAGGAGAGTTCACAGTGGACTACGGCGTTTCGGGATGAGAGATCCGACGAGGAGACTGTTGTTCAGCCTGAAGTGTTTATGCTGTGGGGAGATTGAATGGCTCTCAGACTCCGTCGTTCGGGGGTCAAGATAGATTCAAGGGTCGAGTGTCTCATACAGCGGTGTGGCCGGAGGATGTGGATGTTCGTGGGAAACGGATTGCTGTGCTTGGGAATGGGGCGAGTGGGATTCAATGTGTGTCTGCTCTTCGAGATGGTATGTTGTTTTCTAAGGTTTGAAGATTAGGTGCATTTACTTACTGTAGTCATAGAAGCTGGGGAGATTATCCATTTCGCGCCACACCCGACGTGGCTTGGGCCTGAGGCTTTTGTCGAGAATCCTGAATGTAAGTGTACTGTTCAACATAATATGAGACGGAAATACTGACTAGAGGTAGATGACGAGCAGGAGAAGCTCAAGTTTTGCAGAATTCCCCAGGCCTACCATGACTTCCGAATGGGTCTAGAAAAGGCAGAGCAGAGGGGGAAGGCGCTGGTTAAGCGGTCACAGGGAGGCTGGGCAGGGTCAGCCCAGACCAGTGGTTTATAAATATATTGAACTACAAGGTGAATAGAACGGGAACAAGACGCAGATGATGGCTAAAAGACTAGGAGAGGTGCCGTGGCGGGTACGTTGTGAATAGCTTTATCAGTCATTGATATATCCCCTATGTACAATGAGGGCTTAACGGATAAGGAGTTCTGGACCAAGGTTCTGTCTCACCAGTGAGGCGCCTGCATAGCTAGACATTTCATACATTAGGCTCCGTCAGGTTAATAGAATTTTTATTGATTAATTGATTGATTGATCTAGAAAAGGCGTTGTTACCAGCCTTTGCTTTTCTCTGGAAGGATGCACCCCCTAGTAGAAATCTTCATTCTCATACGGAATCATATGTGGAATCCAAGGTTGGGGATCCAGAGTTACAACAGAAACTGACCCCAGACTATACCCCCGGATACCGTCGCTGGGCTCCCGGCGAACAATACATCACTGCAGTAAACAGCCACATATCTATCTAATAGAAGATCCAGTAGCTGCTCTCACAGAGAATAGATTACACACAGAGAAAGGGGATGAATATGAATACGATATAGTTGTTTGTGCAATAGGATTCAGTCTATATAACCCCTGAATTCCTGTCGTCGGACGCAACGGTATTACCTCTCTCCGATTACTGGGGCTCTGATGGCCCATGTGAGAGTTATATAGCAGTGATAGTGGCACATTTTTTTTTTTTTAAATTTCTTTGGTTTGTTCATGTGCCTGGAACTTTTTGGGGATCTTAAATTGACGATAATTTAGCATTCCCCCCACCAAACTGCCCGATAAACGGTTCCGCATTCCCCGGTATCGAACGAACAGCAGATTATATCGTCAGAGTCATTCACCGTCTTCAAACTGATCGTCTCCGGTCCGTGAGTGTGTGGCCCAAAGTTCAACGGGACTTCAACCGATGGGTCCAATCTCCAATGTCGAACATGGTGTATGTTTTACTTTCTTGCAAACACCTAAAACTGCTAACCAACATCTTTAATCTAAGACAAGAACAAAGATGGAAAGATTATTGTTCCCTACCAATCAGCACTATGCTGCTACGGAGATCATACGCTAGGAAGACTTTGACTTGGAGTTCGAGGATCCGGCGCAGAAATATATGAGCTTTGGGAATGGAGTGACGAAAGATGGCTTCAAGCCGGACTCGATACCTTGGGTGCAACCACCGGGATATTTAGACTGATGGAGATTTCTGGGTAGCTATATTTGAATAATGTATCTTTGATAGCCTGGCGTATTCTGTGCGCATTATTATCAGAATTACTCATGTATGCATGTTATGCACTATTCAATGTTGTTGTGTCATGATTGCCTGCAAGCTATGCCACAGCCATTCCTTAAGACCACCGCTTTCTTTCAAAATCGTATCTGCTCGTTTCAGTTGAGAAGATTTGGCAAAGTGAAGCGTTTAGCAACGATTTCTCCGTAGTGCGTCTGGGATATACTCCATTTAACTTCATCCTTATTTTATCAGGTAGCACATATATGTGCCACCCAGAAAGGGACGGAAGCCAAGCGGGAACGAATTAAGAATATAAATAAAAATAAAACCTTAAAAAGTATTCTGAATAGAATAGGCATCTGGCCTCTCAGTGGTTTAATTGCCCGGGCGGAGGTACCGTGTAAAGGGCTACCGAATTTGGTAACCCATCATGAAGGGTAGCGGGAGTTGATGCGTTTTCCCTTGAGATATTCGCGATTGGTGCCAAATTGTCAAGAGGCGCAGCAAAATTGGTTCCAAGGAGGCGGTGCAAGTGGGAAGAGCCCGACGCAGACGGAACCCACCGACCGCTGGTGGCGTCCCGCTAGAAAAACTTAGGTTCACCGCCCAGAAGTACTTGTCCTCTGTTGTGCTATTTCCTTCCGCTGTGCATTGAAGGTTTTGATTGGCTCTCTTACCAGGTGACACTATCATAGCCAATAGGAGATTGAGAGAAAAGACGGAAGGAAACGATAAGAGTCCCGACCTGCAGCGGGCTTCCCCCATCTTTTACATGTCTACTAACCAACATGAAGCTCCTCCATATTTGATCCAATAGAACACGGCACGAATAACCCCACCACTCCAATCAACGTGGAATTGAAGCGACGACTGTAGTCTTTCATCATCTGACATGGATGCATGGCCCTTCATTCGATGCATCTGGCGTGGCTTTAATTTTGAGGTCCACTTGGGCCAAAAGGAACTAAAGCATGCCTGATGCTTGACGATGCCTAAGAGAAAACTTTCAGGGGATCGTCCTCCTTGAGCCAATCGCCGCGCTGGGGTCGGGAGGCTTCGCAATTCCATCGAGTCTTCGATCTCGTTTCGAGATGATCCTTAGGTGCGGTGCTAGAGCTCCGTACTTTTTCTTCTCCATGTGAGAACGAAGTATCACTCTATAAGTATAAATATGGTGACCATGAGTCTTGCTTCTTGCTCCTCGCCCGCAAAAAGAATCTGTCATTTCCACAGACGCATTCCCAACCTAGGATAGGGAATACCTTCAAGTGTCGGTATCTATACTGGTACCAGTATCACTGGCGGGGGTAGCAGTGTGGACCTGCCTATCATTTGATTACTCCTAAAACATATCGGACGCAACTCCGCCAACAAACGCCAGTCCGCTCTGTATTATATTCTCTGATGACATTGGCCACAACCACACCAATCCAACCCCAATGCAGAACGACTTCGACTTCCTTGCAGGTGATTCCAACATGAAGGGTTTGCCTCCCAAATCAACGGTCATGCCAGGCAGCCCGGTCCACTACCCACAATGGCAGCTTGATGTTCCATTACACGAGGGCTCCATCGTTCATCGACCCTCTGTGAATTATGACCTAGAGGTTGGACCTCACTTGTGCATGCTGACAAGCTTTCACTCCGATCAAATCGCTACCGCTGGATATTCATATGGTCATTTGTCCAGCAACACCACACTGACCCCTCCCACCCTTCCGGTTGAACCCCAGTCTATAAACGCACAGCAGGAGACCCGTGCGAAGGATGTCAAAGAAAGGTGTGATGATCTCAGTGTTGTATCTGAAGGCGATGACCAAATATCTAACTCATCTATAGTGGAAAGAACCACCGACTTGCGCAAAGATGTAAATGGGAGGGCTGTACATCCACAAAGAGTTTCAACCGCGAGGCCGACCTTCTGCGGCATGTTAGGACCATCCATATTGCTCCTCGGTCTTATAGGTGCAACGTCGATGGCTGCCTCAAGTCCTTCAATAGGAGTGATAATCTGAAGGGCCATATGCTCAGGGTTCATGATTGTGATTGTTAGATAAATCTCTCTATCTCGTGGGAACACCTGTCCTCTGTGATTTGTTATTTTCTAGGGATTTCCACGTCTCTTGTTACTTTGCGATAATGTTCTTTTTCAACTTAGTGATTTCGGCGATATTTCCAATGTCCACTAGTATTTCTAGAAAGATAGATCTGGTTTTCCCCAGTACCACCTGTACATTTATGATATTGAAGGTTTAGTTTATGCGCTCTCGCGGAAGGGTAATCGTGGCAGGTTAGTCCAAGATTGCCCCGAAACCACGCGAATTCCAGACTCCATGAAGTATACCTCCTTCATCCCACTGTTTTCTGTGAATCATAATTCTCCACAAACTGTCTTCTACGGCTGTATGAATGTCTTCTCTACTATGGCTGACAACCTCAACACAGCAACGCTTGTGTAGAGCTTCGAGAGGTAACGTTAATTAAAATCAACACTATGGGGCTTCTAAAAGAAGCTGTATTATAGCGGGAGAGGCTCATAATTTTTTTTTTTTTCAAACAGTGTATGCACTTGGCTTGGAAGGCAATGAGATAGGGGCTTTTTTATGCTAAGGGTATAATATTAGTAAGCTAAGTATAGCAATAGATACATATGTTGAAGTGATAAGTGGGCAGCCTTATGTGCAACCACGTTAGATCTCCCGACAGAGGTGTGAAATCGGAAACTCACAAGCATGAAGGGTACTCTTATGTATTACATCAAAACTAGGCTGAATCATTATGCTAGATGTGGAACAAACATTTCCATAGAGTGTGATTTCGGATATTGAAATTTGAGCGTCTAGCCAGCATTGTATCCGTCTAATTGGGGGATGATGTTGGAAAGCCCACCGGCTCCGTGGTACAATTAGTATCAGTAATATAATCTCGCCATGATTGTAGTTTCTGTGCGTGAGACCAACATGATATGGGTTAAACCCTTTTGGTTCTCTGGATGATGATATAGGCGTAGACTGCGGGTTGTATGAGCACGGACATCGACGTGCTTGAGTGTGTGACATCGGGGCAGAAGCCTTTTATCGGCAAATAAGGATATACCTCCCAGAAGACCTCATTATTCTGTGTAACCAGATAACGAATCCGAGACCAGAATCCCGTATCCGCCTTTTTCATACCAATGGAGCGGCATACCCTAGCTTTTCCCGGTTTCCTAAGCCTCTTCCCGGGCCGGGTTGTTGCGGAATACAAGTGTACAAAGACGTAGGAATATATCATGGTGTGCCAAACACTAATGTAATCAACCCCCGTATGCAATTACTATTCGCCTAGCGGGTTTTCTTCTGGTGTCAATCTTCAAACAAAACCTGACGTCGGTTCGAATTCGAACTTTAGAGGTGAGCGACAAGAAATTACCTTGTCGAATCTTGCACTCCATGCGGCTAACTGGCGCTTTTATCATGCTAAGTTAGTACGACGTGAGTGTATAGAGTTAGGTGACTACAAGCCCAATGTGCCACTAAAAGAACCCCGAATGAGAGAGATGTCTTTTTTCGCGGACGGCGCTCGTGATGAATGTTGACAAATTCCTTTGTGATGTGTTATACACGGAGCGCTAGACCATAATTAACTTGCTGTGAGTGCTCAGATGGCTAAATATTAACCTGGTATGGCGCAGTACGAGACTGACGTAAAAGGGCCCTCACTATCTGCTCTCTTCCTCTCATAAAGAACAGCGCCTCAATTAAAGAACCCCTGTAGGAGCCTAACGCCTTGCACTTAATCATCGAGGAACAGCCGGGCCTAAAAATTGGAATTCTGATTTATAATTAGTATTTTCTCCCATTCCATAAATGTAGGCATTTGCGTAAACAACTAGCAATGGTCGCGCTCATAATCACCGTGAAGTATCTGCTGTGGGGAACCTCTTGCGTGTTGCCCACCTATGCAAGCCTTATGGAACGTCGTAGTTGTCTCTTGTATAACTCCCTGTTCGCAATGATCCTCGGATTCATATCTTGGTAGACGCCACGGCGTTTCTACAACAGGGGAATAACGAACACGTCCGCAGTCCGCAGAATCTATGCAAGTAGATACACTATTTGTCTGTGAGAGGCAACTGGTGAAGACCTGAATAATGGATCCTTGAACAAGACCACCGTGGCTGAGTTTTGCAGAGCGAAAACAATCAAGGCAGCGGGCGCGGAATGTTACACTACCCTCGAGGTGCCATAACTTCAAAATCCTCCAGAGCCATTTCCATCCCCACAGCGTTCTGACTTACCCTTTCATTCTCCTGGGCTCAATTACAGAAGATATCCCTGGGGCTAATCTTCATAGCGTTAGTCCTACCATGAGCAGAAGGTTCAACCCGGATTCCAAACTAGAACTTTAACATCCCACTCTAACGATGACATAGTAGCAGAACGGCCCATCGCAATCTTAGGTGCACATGGATAGGGTGCAAGCATAGGGAACCGTTTAACCGTCTTGCCGAGTTGGAAAGACATGTTAAAACTATTGATCTCTTTCCTAACGCCTATCGATGTACTTATTGGGGTTGTCTCAAGCTTTTCAATCGGAAGGATAATTTGGAGCAACACATGATCAGAAGACATAAGATGAGCTTTTGAGGGTCAGATTCCACTTGGCCTTTTTTCTTCGTTTCATTGAGCGTGGTTGTCAGTGTGGTATTGACACAAACGATACTATGGAATGCTTCTCTACATCATGAGTCATTGAGTTGTAGTGCTCAGAAGTTAGTCTGTTATTTGGAGGGGTGGTACTGCTTTCAAAGACACGCAAACCAGCTCCCATTGCGAATGTGTGGAAAATTAGTGCTATCCTAATAGATACAGCTGTCAACTGTGCCTCAATTAAATGATTTGAACCATGCGACCTTTCCGCCCCAATTTTCTTCTACCTTTTCTCTGCCCCCTTTTTTTTCGTCATAACTTTGAACCATAAGATTAAGAATAAAGCAACAAAAGAAGAATGCCACTACCACAGTCGACCGTGCTACGCCCCAAGACTACAGGACATGGATCTTGAACTTCTCATAGGAACCGATATAGCTCTGGCAGTTAACAGTTCCAGCACCACTAGGTCCACCCTGGCCGCTGACATTCTCCATGCGCAGATAGGCGTTCGGGAATTGCACAGAAGCAATGGCCTTGGTGCCATCTTGCTGGTTCTCGAAGCGAAATTTCTCCCAAGAATGGCTGCCCCACCTGATCGTCCTCAGTCAGTACCGACCAATCTAGAATAGAACAGGGAATACGCACTGGCAGTTAACCTTTCCGGCACCCTGGGCGTAGGTCTCTCCAGATTTGACATCTGAGCCGTCCATGCGGAGGTAGACGTTCGGGAAGGCAGAGGACATGATAGAGAAGGTATTGTCATCGGGGTTGTTCACGATGACGAGAGTCTCGTACGTGCCAACATAGTTCTGGACGTTGACAGTACCGCCACCAGAACCAGAGTATTCGGTGACGCCCCGTCCGTCAATACGGAGGTAGGATCCGGGGAATTTCTGGGACTCGATGCTGACACGCAGCATGTTGCTAGTGGAACCAGAAGACATTGTGGAGGTTGGAAAGTTCGATGATGGTTTGATGAGGGTTGAATGCTATTGGAAGTGCTTGAGTGGGCAAGGCTTTTGTTCTGCTAGAGGATAAGGGCTCTTGATGCTGGGCTCAACGTCTCTATTTATGTTGAAGATAACCGCTACTAGCCGTAGATGATATCGATCTCGGTACAGTAGACTGACGTGAACCATACAGCTGCTGTGGTCAGTGGCGCCCATCCTTCTTTCTATTTCTGACTGCAACCATGCAATGGTAAGGTGGCTATATTTGCCTTTGATCCTGAGGCGTAGGTTGCACCGACTCCGCTAACAGACCGTTTGATGGTACCGGAAGGCCGAGATTGATCGCGAAAGAAAGTATATCATATGAATTTAGGACTCTCCTTCACCGCTTATAGTAACAGTCTTGATTCTTTTATACCGTTAAGACTCTTCCTCGGATAGCCGCAATCCAATAAGCAGTAACTTCTCCACTTGTATCTTATACTTCCAACAAATCGAATTGGAAAGGCTGAAAGAGGGACTACATCAGGTTACAACAACTAACACACGCATCCTGCATTATTAATGTCATGAGACTCTGCATGGTGGGAATCCAATGAAACGCGCGGGGGTAACCTTAGTAAGTAGGGTTGCGACAGTATGACACCAATCCCCGGATTTGGAACAAATCTCGGAATAACACTGATGGAAATACCTTAATGGGGTTAAAGTACCATGACAGTCTATTTAGACTACTATCGTTGAGTATCGCGGAAAAGAACTAGAAATGCGTGATAATTGAATATGTGGCCTCCGATGGCCCAAGAGCCGTGCAAAGAATTCGAGTGAACCCTGACATATCTACATATTAGGAATGTTGTATTTGTTTCTCAAAACGAGATCAGCCTCGGAAAATTTAGCAAGACCAATCAGCTTCTATAAAACTACTTTCTTATTCGTATAATCTCCCAAAATATGGCATCAAGTAACATTCTGCACACTCTATCGTCTGCTGCTGAGTTACAAACCTTGCGGAGCTCAGACCAAGTTATTCTTACACTTGTATTTCAATGAAAACTTTGCCGACATGCTTCTGGTCAGAGAGATACTGACACGCTTCACAGATCTCTCCAAATTTGAAGATGTGTTTATCCACGACGAGGTGAATATTATTCGCCTCAATGACACGGTTCATTTCTTCAAACTGTAGTCTAGACCCCACACCGATACCTCGGACAGAACACACATGCAATAGAGTGTCGATGAGGGATGGCTGGTCTGGAGCTGGAGAGCCTACAACGAAACCGACCATGGAGATAACACCGTCTATTTTGATCGCTTTAAGGGACTACATGTCTGCGGTTAGAAACATTCTTCTGTCAAATGGTTTACAGTCTATCTCACCTTTTTAATTGTAGCTGGACCGACAACTTCTACAATATGCATTACTCCGTTATTAGGAGTAAGGCCTTTCACAACTTCTCCCCACTCGCAGCATTCTTTATAATTTATCACTTCGTCCGCTCCCAGTTGTTTGAGGAAATCAGCCTTCTTCTTTGATGTCGTAGCAACCACCTTCGCACCGGATGCCTTGGCGAACTATAGATTTGTGTGAGCCAATGTGCAAGGACAGAAACGGTGTACTTACCTGCAAAGCAAACAGATTCACCCTTCCGGTGCCTTGTATAAGAACAATATCTCCCGGTGCCACTGCCTTGCCCTGTAGTCTATAAAGTGCAGACTAAGCAGTCAATGCCACGCATGGTAGAGTAGCCCTCAGTGAAACTAAGGTTTTCAGGAATCTTTACAAGTCTTTCTTCATCAAAGCCTCCATAGTGGTAGAGAGTCTCACCAAGGCCACTCCCAAGTCCGGTATTGATTGATTTTGCGTCGGGGGCACCCGCAAGATGGCCTTGATGGAAGATTGGGGTGGCGCGATCCCCAACCTGGAAACGAGTGAGTTTAGCGTCGACGGCCTGAACTACGCAGGCTCCATCTCCAAGTGGCACAACGGAGTCCTTCAATGGCCACGGGTATTGTCCCTATGTATCGTATTATAAACGTGGTATTTCCTCACTCCGTCGCTGGGGTAGGCCCCTCCTTACATTCACAATGATCAGATCACGGTAGTTCAACGATGCAGTTCGGACTGTTGATGGCTTTGTTAGGAACTACCCTATGAAATTAATTAAGTCCTTCGGCATTCGGAATGTAACAAAGAGCGAGCCTGCCAGCAGGATGTCGCAAGTCGGCCGGACACTATAACAATATCCTAAAGATTATCAAGCGTAGCTTGGCGGGTTACTTGGCTCTGGTGCCAAAGTTATATAACCTCCATACGGACAGGCGCTGGTTCTCTCTTGCCTAACAGTATCTTTTGCATTTTGCTCAGTGACTAAATAAAGTACAACATAAGTCATAAAAATAATGCACTATATAACTTTCTATACTAAACCAGTCAAATACATACGACCACAGGGTGTGGAGAACAGGGCTTCCCGTCCGCTCAGCCGTACTTAAGCCACACGCCGGGAGGTTAGTAGTTGGGTGGGTGACCACCAGCGAATCCCTCCTGTTGTATGTTTTTGCTCACCCATATTTTTGAATTGTTGCTTAGTGCCCTTGCCGCCTTGCCACTCAGCCCTTGCTTGAGTGACGTGGTCCCTCGGCTGAACCTGCTATGTTCCTTTGCCAATGCAATACCTGCCCCTTTCCTCACAGTTGCTATTTTTGGGTACAACCAGGTCTATATAGTATTTAAAAAACTTGCTGACGCTGTATCAGATATGTTGTGGCAATGACCACTGTCTGGTCGTTATAGAACCCCTATGAGCGCGATAAACGAATGATTGAGGCCAGAAGATAGATGCACAGGTACTGTAACAGACTTTAGAGACACGGGCCGCAGCAGCTCTGATACACTAAAGGTGGAGCATGGCAGGTCTACCAAAGATGGCACGCCAGTACCCTGGCTCGGGGGGTGCAGGGCAGACTGGGGAGAATCCCGCCCCAGACCGAGTCACCATACGTGGGCCTCCGTTTGGAACCAAAGCCGCACCTCCAGTACTGCCAACACCGCGTATCTTTGTTTATTGCCTTCCGAGGTAGGCCTAGCGTGGATAGTCAAATTGAATTGGTTTGGCTTGTTGTAGGTGCATTACGGCCTACCTACGCGACCTACGCGACCTACAGCCTTCCTCCCTGTCTCACAGATATGGATCGGTAATTGAGTTGGGCAAACTAGAATGAAGGGCCCAAGGTGCGCTCGTAGTTCGCTCATTCTATTACCCCATATCTTCGCTTACTGGATAGTGAATATTTTGCAGTCTATTGGGGACCCCAAGTAGGTGTTGGGCGGTGCAAGGTCCGAGAGTACATTAAGAACCGATGGTTTCCAAACAAGGAAAAGGCTTTGAATATAGTGCATCTACACAGTTTGTTCGCTCAATGACTCCCATTCAATTTAGTAAATCTGCATCTGGAGATTGCCTTTGCCCTCGACCACCTCTGATTCAATCTTCCTAACTTAGCAAAACTACTAAGTCTGTATCAGCCTCATAGAATAATGATCGAATAATTTCTATGGGGTTTCACTCGGGGTTCAAAATGGACTCAACCTCGAAATATATCTGCCCCCCGATCTCTATGTTGTGATCAACATTGAGGATTACCTCGTCCGAGAGTTTGGTATGCGTATCAACAAACTCATTATCCGAATCGAACTCGAACTCTTCGCTACTATCATCACTGTCTCCAAGAGCCAGGTGATAGGCCTTTGCCCTTTTCTGGAGCCCCAAAACTGGAGTTTTGATGCCGAAGCCCGGCAACAGGCAGCCGTGGCGTTTCAAATCGACGACAGAGTATGATACCGCAAAGATCTCTTCCTCCTCAGAGAATAATTCACGACTGTTTAGTGTCTCGGAACATATCTGAGGCTGGAGAGTGAAATTCAATACGTCTCCAGCAGGTACGCTGAGAAAAATCGACACCGGAACGTTGACACCAAAGCCATTTTCCGTGCTAGATGTGCTCTCGATTGTCCAGGTTGTTCCAACAGCAGTGAGAAAGCCAGTGACCAGGTACGCACGGTGAGTTTTTGTGCGTTCCAAGAGCTCTTGAACATCTTGAGCATAGTGTTCATTCTGCATGAGAACTTTGAAGCAGTGTTCAGGATTGGGCAGCGCGTACTGCTTCACAATGTTGCTTTCAAGTTGGCGTTTTTCTATCGAGCCGCGTGTGACATCAATATGTAACAGTATGGATAATTGGGCGCGTATGCCCTTTTTACGAGCAACTTGGATCAGATCCTTTCGGTTGGTCGTCAAAACGGGCTCTGGAAGGATATCAGGGATGATATCATTCGTGTTATGCGATGGCTGACCGGGGGTACGAGAAGGCGATGGCGCGAATCTGGTCTGGGGCAGCGAGAAGGTCTCGACAACCCGACAAATAAAACTATCAATCTCGCTTTTGGGCACCCGCTCATCAAGAAGAAAGTATCGCCGCTGGGCCATTATGATGGGTGGAGGAAAGTGAGAAATTTGGCGGTTGGGTGGGGGTATTTATAGCCTACCTACTGCTAGTACTATCTAAGCGGCTTACGGCAGCGCACTACGAAGGACAGGGATGTGAGGCTTTCCGACCCCGCCCCCTTTTCGTTTAATGGGGAAGTTTTGACTCTTTGCCTACATGCTCACTCTGAAACTCTGACGTAGCGATGTTGGTTGAGATCCAAGCTCGATCGGTGCTGTCGACGCCGACAGAATCACGCAACGGCACAACCCCCCAGCGAACAGAATGGGCGGTGCACATTCATGTAGCGGGAAAACAAGTCAGACGTGATGTTTCACTGAAGGACCCTCTTACCCGAGGGCAACATGGAGCTTGTCGTTGGTATCTCGAGAAGTACCTGCAAACATCTCCTTATTCAGCCGACATTGAGAAACAGGCCCGAAAACTGTTAGAAGAGTATCCAAAACGACTCTGGCGGGATCTCTGTCTTACGAAGGTGCTTTCATTGTTTGATAACACACACCAGGAAAGCCCGAGACTTTGCACGATTCGTGTCACTGAAAGTGAGAATGTATCAAAAGATTCTGGAAATACCATTTACCAGCTCTTTTGGGAGACTTTGGAGGATATCGATGAAGGTGCCGCATCTGGATGGAAGTTCACTATTGAGCGACAATTTCTTCCAATAGAAAGATGTGGATTTCCTCTAAGAGAACAAATGAGAAATACGAAAAGGATCAACATGCTCCTGGTTATTGGAAGGGATACGACCAGAAACTCGAAGAAGTACGATGATGTGAGCCCACTGTTGGCTTTCAAAGCAGTCAGCCAAGTCCAGAAAAGTCTCAATTCAAGTGGAAGCCCCCTGCAAATTCATCTCGAGGTGGCTCGCCCCGGTACCTTTGCTTCATTTGAAGGCCATCTGCGGCGCACAAAGGAACAACATGGGCCTGGATACTTTCAAATTGTACACTTTGATCTGCATGGGGCGGTGAAAACATGGAGTCGAAAGGATGGAAAGAAAACAAAAGCTGGCATCCTCTACTTCACATGTGGAGAATCGAACAAAACCCGGCCGGTCCTCGCGTTAAAAGTAGCCGCTGTTCTCAGACAGTATAATATTCCATTGGTCATACTGAATGCTTGCAACTCAGCAACGGCATATTCCGGCGAAGATGCCAATATCGCTGGTGTATTGCAGAAGAAAGGAGGTGTCCGGAACGTCCTCGCTATGTCATTTAGGATTTCCAGTGCAACAGCGGAACTTTTCCTGACCAGATTCTACTTTTTCTTTCTTGTTGGTCGGCTAACGCTGTCTGCCTCCTCAAGAGAGGCACGGCGGTCTCTGCGGTTAAATACCCTCCGCCCAGCGAGGTTCGGATTAGAACGAGAGCTACTTGACGCCTTCGTCCCTGTTCTTTACGGCCCCGGGGATATTTGTGCACTCGCCGAGGATGAGTCATTAGGGGAAAGCTGTCTACAATATGACGTTCCATATCGCTCCGTTTCTCCAACACTCCATTTACCGTCAAATATTGTGGGTCGGGATTTCGACATACTAAGATTAGAGAAAGCCCTCTGTCAAGATTCAGTAATCTACCTACACGGACCAACAGGAGTTGGCAAAACTTCTCTTCTACAATATGCATCCACCCTATGGCAGCACACGCATTGGGCAGATGCGGTAGTCACAATCGATTTCGGCGCAGAAAAGATATCTTCTGCAGCTGACTTCGCAAATGCCGCTTTGAATCAGCTTCTCCAGGTATATGATTCAGCGGCAAGATCAGGACTATGGATAATACCTTCCCTACGAACGCAATCTCACGATCTTGAAGCAGTCAAGGATATACTTCGTGAGATCATCAGTACCTGTAAAGTTGTCTTCATCGTGGATGGTCTCGATATACTTTCATCTCCTTCTCAAGCCATAGCTGATACTTCCTGCTTTGACTCTGGATACCTCGATATTTTTGAGTTGATTAAATCGATTATAATACCTTCTACCTTGTGTAGCACTGAGAGAGGCAGTTGGTTGATCGTGGCTGCTCGGCATCCAAATGTCGAATGGATAAGACATGCATTAGGGCCCACAAGCGAGCCCCGTTGCTTAAAACTGCAAGGGTTAGATCTGGCAGACAGCATGGAGTTGTCTCAAAAGGTTCTGAGTGATGCAGGTGAAGATGTCTCGAAATGGGATTACCAAGATTTTGATTGGCTTGTGGCATGCATTGGCCTTCTGCAGGGCATTCCTCTCGCTATCAAGGAAATTTTGCCCATTCAACAAAAGCTTTCTATTCCATGGCGAGAGTTCTACTCAGAATTGCATGGTGAGTTATCGCCTTCACTAGGAGCTTTGGCATTTATTGAATCGGAGTCCTACGCTGTCCTCAAGGAGATTGTTCTTATCTGTGAGACATTTCCGCGCCATGTGTTTGTGCTATTATCACTCCTGGGCAGCTACTGGGGTGAAAGTGCGTCAGTACATTGCCTTTGGCGACTTTTCATGGCTGCTACCAGAGAGGAAACTAAGGACGAGGATCGGGTATCGCCTGAACCGGAAGACTTTACAGCATGGGTCGTACCCATACTGTCATTTGCTTTCCATAGAGGATACATTTATAGTGACTCAGGCTCCCACGCTACGTCCTTTCAAGTTCACCCACTGTTCACTATTTATGCCCGTACCTTGGTGCCTCATATGAACCCGCATTTAAAGCATCCCTGGATGCGAGAGCTCATTCTGAAGTCGATCCAGCTAAAACAACTTGAAGAGCAGGGGTTTGCTGATAGCTCAAATGAATCATTCGCAGAAAGAGCAACATTGAACGATGAGGCAAACCTTCTTACATCTATCAGGCTATGTCTCGAGCTCTCGCACATAATACCAGCATTTGAATGGCCAACACACGCTCTTTATATCTATCTCTCTGACCACCGGTTGTCAATAAATCTGGCTGATAGCTTTCTAGATTTCCTAAAACTATGTATAGAGCCGTGCCATATTTCTGGAGATAAGTGGCCCACGCCAGAATTTTGCGTTCTGATGATCTCTCATATCTACCAAAGTCCCCAATTATGTTTCTGGCTTCGTGGGCGGTGCCAAGAGGTCACGCATCTTCTTTTGGATATCATGAAGATTCTGGACGAATATCATGAAAAAGATCCAAGTCTGCAGACTATGCTAGACAAGGCAATCTTATTCGTGATTCTGTTTCAATATCAAAGCGCCTTTGACCCTGATATCAGCACTATCGATTCCACTTCAAAGGCTGAAGTCATCCTTAACGACATTACCGTATATCGACAGACCAAGGATCTACCGGAGGAAGACCTGAGACAAGGACTCGACATGATCATCCGCACCATCGAAGACATCAAAAGTCCCAAATCTAGCTCACCACCAGAGGAAATTATCGGCATGCCTCGTTGGCAGGCAATTTTTGCGGGAATACTGGATAGATACGCAGATACCGAGCTTGAACAATCCTCTAGCTTCTCGCTCGTCGATCTCGAGTTGGACGTGCCTGAAAAAGATGATGCTCTTTTCATGTTTCTCCAAAACCTAGAAGAAGCAAACGATACAGGTGACTGGCTCGACTCAGTTCACTATCATAGATCGCTCTTAGAGGGTGCAATAGCCAACTTTTCCTACGACGAGGCTGGTCAGCATCTATTGGCTATCCATCGCATCTGGAAGACTGCCGGCTGTGAGAATCCGCTCCCAGATTTCGACAGGGTGAACAAGGAGATCGATCATCTTCGAGCTCAGTTTCAGTTTTTACTAAGCACCTTTCCATCATCAGAAGGCAAACGTCTAAGAGACGGCATACGAGCACAAAAGGAGTTGATATCTGCGATGGCTGACATAACTCCTCTGCTTTCTTTTGTTGGCAATTATCAATTGGATAAGATTGCCGCAGAGCAAGGCAGCGGTGGTTATTTACCAGGTCTCTCTCGGGAAGAGATGATCAGACTCGTCAGAAAGCACATAAAAAATATTACTTGTGCAGAGATGGTGGCTGAGGTGGAGAATTTCCTCGAGATCTGGATGCTAGCCAGGCAGGCGATGGCTGAAACTCAATACAGGTCTTGCTTGAAGCATTTGGATTGCATAGAAAAGATGCTTGAGAAAAGCCAATACTTACGCGATTGCTTCGACGTAGTCGAACAGATCACAACCATTCGCCAGAAATGCCACGAGGGGCAGTCTTGGGTCGATCAACTCCATGCTCACGTCGATGCTGTATTAACTGGGGATTTCGATCGCGCTCGTTCTATCCTTGACGGAATCTCGGACCCTGACCTAAGGTCCCCTGAGAGTTTCCCCGCGTTGTATCATGCTCTCGAACTGGAACATCTGGCAAGAGAGCTAATGGACGCGAGAAAGCTCCAAGACTTTTCGAGGGTCAGAGAGTTGCACTCCAAATATACTAGCATCTGGTATGACCCGAAGAATAAGCTTTTGTACATCGAAGAAATACAAGATGCGATCGCGGAGAACCTGGAGTGGCTGCTCCAACGATCTCGCGACGGGAAGCAGTGGCAAGTGGGCATCGAGCTTTGTGAGGAGGGTTTGCAATCCTGTGACGCCCGAGATGAGGAGACTTCTTTCGAGCGCGCACAATTATGCAAATGGAGGGAAGATTTTGAAGTGGGACTTGTTTTGGAGTCGCTTGATACAGCAGAAGCTGCGGAGGATTTAAGTGCATGTCTTGAATTATTCAATAGTCTCGCAAGGATCCGCTCAAACCAGACGCAAACCATCGTTATAGGTCGCAGGGACTACATAATGCTGAGCGACAAACAGATGGAATTCCTGAGGTGGTGCTATGAAGATGGATGCATACCCTGCGCAAGGTGGTGTCGCTGCCGTGAGATCCAGCCCTGTACGTTTGAAGAGCAGAAATATCAGCAGTATCAGAAGAAACGGCATGATCGGTCGCTTTTTCGTGCACCGTTCGGCTGTCCGCATCGTTCCCAGTGCGTGGAGGGCTTTTGCTTTCTAGGTTATTAGAAGACTTCAAAATAAGATGCATGGAGTAAGCATTTGGTATAAATCCATTCAGCGTACCACACAACAGTTTTTTATTTGTCAATACTTTTCTACCGTATACTCATTGAAAAAGATCAAAGGACGTTTATCGTTTCTCAATCCCTGCATGGTCCTTTTGCAGGTACAAGCGATCTTGACTACTTGTATAGACAGCCGTAATAAGCCCGTTAACTTATAGTGCTAGTAGCTGCTCTTCCCCTAGATATGGTGAAGTTGCACTGATATAACTAACGTATTTAACCAACACGTAAGAGATAATTGGTTATTGAAGGGGATGTAGCTCAACTTATCTGTATAGGAATTAGGGCATATAAGAAGAGAGGCCACTTGATTTGAGATTAGGAATGTGGATATTAAAAGGATGTAGTTACAAGTCTTGAATTATTAATTCCTTACATTGATGATCTATGTTAGTGAAGGACTCGGATATATATATGATGTCCATATGTTGTTACATTTGTGCTCTTCGTAGCTACTATAACTTGTAACCCTTTCGGCTAGAAACCTGCCTTGGCCAGCCCCTATCTCTCAGTTTATCCTTTCTTTAGTTTCAGTATTTTGTTTTGATGTACTCTTTCCTCCCAGAGCGTTTACGTGTCACTCTTGATATCTTATAATCTTGTTATCAATATTGTCAAAAATGTTTAAGAGATACTCACTTTCTTTTAGTCTTTATAGTAGCTGAAGGAGTGACTTGATTAAGTAATAGGCTAAAGAAAGAGAGTGAGAAAAGATTTTATATATGATGAGAGCCTCCTTAAAATTTTCACTGCTGCAGTTCCCAAATACCACTTTTGGCATGCCATATATTTTCGGCTCTTCAGGTGAAGGGCTGAAGAGACCCGTTAGGGCGGCAAGCCACCTAGCACAAACTCGTGGGCGCTAGGTGATCACCAACATACAATATCTGTTGTATTTTTTTTGTATTCGTCAAAATGTCACGGACATGTGACAAGTTATACGGGACGGTTAGTATATTGGGAGGACTACTACATACGTACGATGCATGGTAAAGTACCATGAGAAACATAGGACAGAAGGAAACTCAATCATGTACTTACTTTAGTTTCTTGTAATCAATCTATTCAGTTACTTAATAGCTACATCCTAGTTTGAGCATTTCGTGTTCTCTTCACTATTAGGGTACGTATAATCAATAGACCTGGTCCTTCCAGCTCGGACTGTGCCTATTCACTTCTCGCCCTCCAAAAAGACCGAAGTTTACAGAAACTTATGAGATCCAGCGCTATTCAGTGGCCGATTGCAATAGAAACAATAGTGCACAATTCAATTGGGATATGCACCTACTCAGGTTTCAGATACTGTTTTTCAAACATGCAATGCTAAGGGGCGGACTAAGAAGTGACAAGCTAAAGCCGAAGCATTTCCTTGTGACAACTACCTAGTTATTATATAGAATGTAATCAAATAGCCGGAACACATGAATAAATAGATATGCAGGTAATACAGTTGGTAGATGTGTGGTCATCAGTACTATATAACTGGTGGAGGAAATTTACTTTTCGCCAGCTATTGGTGTTTCACGAAGTGGTGTGGGCGCTAACTCTGCATAACCAAGGCTTCAAACAAAATTGACGTGGCGTATCTTCATTCGTGTGTATAAGGGAAGGAAGACACAAGGCTGAGTTGCCGGATGCTGGGTTGGCTCTCTGATCTTTCAACCCATCATCTTTATGCTCTCAGCGAATATTTTCACGAGTCAACTTAAGTGTGAGCCGACCTTAAATTCCAATCCATATCCAGTTCCCTGCCTTTGCCACTGCTTCGCTGAACGTGATGCCTTCTCGGGGTGAATACACAGTGGGCTGGATCTGTGCCATCCGCAAGGAGTACGTCGCTGCCCGAGCTTTTCTGGACGAGACATACCAAGAAATATTTGAGCTTTCAACGCAGGACAACAATACTTATACCTTCGGCAAGCTTGGAGCCCACCTTGTGGTTATAGCTGTCTTACCTGATGGCATTTATGGTATAAGCTTTGCTACGAGCGTCGCGATTGACATGTTGCATAGCTTCCCGAATATTAAAATCGGCCTCTTGGTTGGTATTGGTGGAGGTGCGCCCAGTCAACGTCATGATATCCGCTTAGGCGATGTTGTTGTCAGTACCCCTGGTAATACAGCCGGTGGTGTGATCCAATATGATCTCGGTAAAACTATTCAAAATGAAAGCTTCGTATATACAGGTTTTTTGAATCAGCCACCGACGTGTCTACTCACGGCTGTGACTGTGCTCCAGGCCAAATATGACACCGAGGGCCATCAACTCGACGAATATATATCCAATGTCCTAAAGAAGAACAAAAGATTACAAAAGGAGTATCAAAGGCCGCATTCAAGCACTGACAAGCTTTACAAATCTGAAGTTGTTCATTGCCAAAGCGATACAGCAGGCAGTGCGCGATCAATGTTTACGGTATTGGCAATGAAGGTATGGCTAGAAGCATTGGCATTGCTTTTGCTGGTTTCACGCTGAGGTTCAGGTCTAGTTTGTCTGGGATACCCTTCTTAGCTGCCTAGGCATTTTGCTCCGCTTATGGACAGAGTGCAATGACGGCAACTCCAATTTAGTCATGCGCCCTGAGAGAAGTGGAACGGACGATAGCATTATGATCCACCACGGCTTAATTGCATCGGCAAACCAACTCATGAAGGATGCTTTAATACGCGATAAGCTTGCAGCAGAAAAGGGTGTTCTATGCTTCGAGATGGAAGCTGCAGGTTTGATGAACCACTTTCCTTGCTTGGTCATTCGGGGTATATGTGACTATTCGGACACGCATAAAAATGACCAGTGGCAAGGCTATGCAGCAATGGCAGCAGCAGCCTATACAAAAGACCTTTTATGTTGTTTATCGCCGTGCCGGGTAGCAGCATATAGGGATGCGAAGGGGAATGAGGAAGACAAATCCATTCGCGAATGGCTTGCAGGCATTGACTACTCCAAGGACCAGAAATATTACCTGGATAAATGGCAAAAAGGGACAGGTGGGTGGCTCATTAAGTCAGAAGAGTTTGGAAAATGGTTGGAAAAGGACAACCAGATCCTTTTTTGCCCAGGTATTCCTGGTGCAGGCAAGACTTTCGCTGCCTCTTTCATCATTGATCACTTGTGCCAGAAATATCAGAGGGACGCGGACATGAACATTGGTATCGCCTATGTATACTTCGACTGGCGAAAGCCCCCGCTCTCGCGTAGTGATCTGCTTTCAAGCCTCCTTTCGCAGTTGATTCGGCCTTCTATTCCAGAGATTGTAAGAAGATTTTACAACCAGCATATAACCCGAACTACCCGACCTTCATCGGATGATATTATGGATATCTTGGTGGAAGTCGTTGGTATGCACACGAGGACCTTTATAATCGTTGACGCGCTGGATGAATGCAATGGTTCTGTCGGGTCACGGTCAGATGTCCTAGCAACATTGTTCAATCTGCAGGACAAAATCCGTGCGAACCTCTTCGTGACGTCCCGACATATACATGCAATAGAGACAGAATTTGACGAAAGAGGGAGTATCGTGCTCGAAATTCGCGCTCGAGATGAAGACATCCGGAGATATCTCGACGGCCATATAGCTTGGCTACCAAAATTTGTTCTGGAGAAACCTGGATTGGCAGAAAAGATCATATTGGCAATTATCAAAGCAGCTGATGGGATGTAAGAGTTTGCTCATATACCATTACTTAGTAGTCTGCTGAATTTTGGGTCAGGTTCCTCCTCGCATATCTTCATTTGCAGTCATTGAAGGATACGATAACCATCTCCGAGATCAAAAGGACCTTAGAAATGCTACCTAAAGTATCCGGCGCATACGATGCGGCTTACGACAGTGTTATGCACAGAATTGAACAGCAGCCAATGAACCGCAGAATACTAGCTGCTCAGATTCTTTCTTGGATATTTCGCGCACGGCGACCGTTAGGAATCATCGAGCTACAGCATGCCTTAGCTGTTACAGAAAACTCATCCTCAATTGATTTAGATAATATCCCAGCCATTGACATAATAGTCGATGTTTGTGCTGGTTTGGTCACCACCGACAAAAGCCGTGGAACAATCCGCCTGGTCCACTTCACAGCACAGGAGTACATTGATCAATCTTGGATAGTACGGTTTCCCGATGCCGATGTGAATATTGCAAAGACTTGTCTGGCCTACCTATCATACGAAACATTCGAAAGGGGCCCAACTACGACTTGGGAAGAATACCGACAGCGACTAAAAGACAATCCGCTTTATGAGTATGTCGCACGGTATTGGGGTTTCTATGCTAGGGAGTCCTATCTCGAAGTCAAACAGTTAACATCATATTTCCTGCGGCATAGCTCAGTACTGGCTAGCGCAGCGCAAGTTATACTGGAAGAAGGATCTCTCTTCCGCCCGTTGAGGAAACTGGAAGGGATTATAGGGTTGCATATCGCCGCATATTTCGGAATAAACCATGAAGTTATAGACTTTCTAAAGGATACGTCAGGGACCGCTATGGTGGATAGTTTTGGTCATACCGCTCTACATTGGGCAGTAATGGGAGGACAGCTTCAGACAGTTGAAGTTCTTCTACAAGGGGGGCTCGATGTTAATGTGACAGATACTGAGATGAGATCTGCGTTGCATTACGCAGCAAGCCAAGGCGATGCTGTATTGACACATCTCCTGTTAAGCAAAGGTGCACTTACCGAGATTCGGGATATAGATGGACAGACGCCCTTACTGGCTGCCGCAGACAAGCTCAGTATTGCGGCGATCAAGGAGCTATTAAATGCTGGAGCCTTTGTCAATGCCATAGATACAATGAGTCGGAATGCATTACACTTGGTAGTGCTTGCCGCAAAGGATCAGAGCGCCCATCTCGCCCACTTGCTTTTATCTTGGGATATTGATGCCAGCTTGGCCGATTTTGATAACATGACCCCGCTGCATTATGCAGTTGCAACAGGAAATCGCCAAGTTGCAGATACACTTCTCCAGGCGGGCGTCGATATTAATATTGGCGTTGAGAGAAGCCTTTGCACGATTAGAATGGAAGCTGGGCAAAGAACCTATCAAAAGCGCCAGCCACCTCAAACAGCAGAAGCGAACATTACCAACGCTGTTGGGCTCACACCGCTGCATTTTGCAGCTTGTAGCGGCCACTGTGCAATGACCGAATATCTCCTGGGCAAGGGTGCCAATCCAAACTCACAGTCTCACGACGGGGACACACCATTGCATATTGCCCTGAATAGAGGCATCCTAGGAAGCAGTCCAAGGAGACTGGCAAACGATGATGCATGGACGGACAACAGATGGCAAGTTGAGCTTAGTGCTGACTATATATCTGACTATGAAGGAGAGGAAGCACGCGAAATCTATGGATACATCGATGAACAGAGATCAGCGGTAATTAGTATCCTTCTTTCAAGAAGTGATATTGATGTGAATATCGCAAATACAGCACTAGAATCGCCACTTCATAAAATTCGCTATGATACAATTGACTCAGAAGTGGCTGTTCAGTCACTGCTCGAGAAGGGGGCCAATGCTTTTGCACGTAACTGGAAAGGGCAAACAGCATTACACTTCGCTTGCAGCGCAGGAAGTTCTGCGAACGTCTGCAAGTTCCTTGACTGGGGTTGTTCTATTACCAACAAGGATTCAGAAGGTTTGACCGCTTTACATTACGCCGTGCAGAAGGATAAGTGTGACACCGTAAAAATAATCCTAAACAGGAATAGAGAGGGAGGCCGACAGCTATGTCTCAAAACAGACAGACAAGGTAGATCTTTACTGCATCACCATCTCCAATCATGTTTCTGCTCCCTCGAGATGGTCACCATACTACTGGACCATGGAGTGAGAGTTGACGATATTGACAAAAATGGAGACACCCCTCTTAGCATGTACCTGCGGAGCTTTCACTTGTTATGCCGGTCAGAAATTTGCCTCTCTCTTCTGCAGCAGGGAGCTAGTGCACTCTGGACAAGCCCAAAAGGTGAGAATTTAGCGCACCTGTCAATGCACAATTGGGACGTGGAGGTCGAACTTTTGAAGATCTTGTCAGAACACGATGTGGATTTGTCCGCGAAGGACAAGAGTGGAAAGAATATCTTACATCATGGAGCCATTCATGGCTCAGTGAGTAAAGATATTCTTGAGTTTATTCTACAAAAGAATCTTATCACCTTGAATGACAGGGACGAGAAAGGAATGACTCCGCTTATGTATGCGCTGGAAGAGTCCAAGAAAACCCGGCATCCCAACCTATTTGCGCCAGATAGATGGAAGCGTACATGGGAGAATCTAAGTAACCTAGCTGGGGCAAAAGGTTTTAAGCCATAGGCAGGAGAGCAAACAGACCTGAGAGTGAAAACAGCCTGCATTGACTATTCAGCATGTTCTATATGTATTGCAAACTATTTCTTATTCAAAAAGTTCACCAAAACCACAGTCGTTGTCATAACATTAGTACAATATCACAAACGTCGGTGCCGGGGAACTGACGAGCAACAAAGACAAAGCCCCAGCGCTCATAGGAATATACGCCAATTGTGTCAACGAAGAGCTTCAGCAGACATTCATATTCGTCGTTTAAGGCTACCATCCCGTCGATGTTTGTGACTTTTGACTAGAGACATTGCTAAGGATTGTACCAACCCCATGAGCCGTCTTCCCTCGAGCCATTCTCGCTCTGATGGTAGATAAGGTCCTGTTCATCAAATGATTCCCTTCCAGCCATCTCATAAACCACAGATTTCTTGAACTGTGGTGGGGTATCCGAAGCACTTACCGAATATATCAATGTCGGATGGTGTTGCCTGCGGTAGTAGTCTAGTCAATGCATGGTATAGGCTACCAATCTCGCCATCTTGATCAGACATCCCACATTCGCTCTACGAAATCAACTCATCCGCACAACGTCTCTCGCATCAACATTGCAAATATCGAGGATATCTTGAAAAAGCCTAGCGACGAACTCGGTATTGGGAATGTCGCTATAAAGCCTACGAAGAGGATGAACGTCCCAAATATGCTCTGAAAGTGTCGGCATTCTTTTGTTGCCGTTTTGGTTCGGCGTATTTATCTTGAAGCTCCATAGAAGATTCGGGTGATAATTGTATCATGAGATTAATGGGCAGATTATACGTGTCAGGAAGGTATTTATTGGGACTATCTGCGCCTAGAGAGAGAGAGCTTGTTGATTGTTGAGTCATGCGCAGAACCGGGTATCTTTTTAGATAGCTTCCGGCTATTTATATACAAAAGGAGACCACAAAGATACCCATCCAGGCGGATATTCTGGTATCGGCCTAAAGCTCATTCAATTTTCATGATTGGCTACGAGACTTGTGGAGCTGGACTGACAACCTGATATTTGCATATTCTGGGCCCCAACGCTCGTTCTTCGATCTCCATCCGAGCTACAAACTCCAGGTTTGTCTTTGTTCCAGCCAATGTCTCCATGTCCAATTTACCAACTAAAAAGATATCCGTGCCATATGCGTCGTTCACATAGCTTTTCAAGATTGTATGCTGTCGAGTTTTCACCGTCGTCCACGCACCCTCTCTGGATTGCGATATCTCTGAACGCGAGTTCAGTGAACAACATAGAGAATTTGAGGGAAAGACCAGGAGGAAGGGTCTTACCAGCGGCCCCTTGAAACATGGCATTCGCCGTTATTAACACACCATCCTGGGTAAAGATCTCATCGGCTAAGACTTGCCCTATCTCTTGCGAATTGGTGTCCACCAAAGCGAAGAAGCGGTATACAAGTTGCTTCACCTCTGGTAGGGGCTGAGAAATAGGCCACATCGCTGCTTTTCTTGAATCGCTCGTAGCCTTTTATTGAATGATAGAATGGGATGTGTAAGGTGAGGGAATTTGAGTGGGCGATAATCAATTACTAAATACTTGGCTCAACTCATCGCCCAGCCGGCCTAATTCCCTTCCTCTACACCGAATGAAACCGCAGCGATTAGACCTTCTATATTGAACGGGCAAAATAAGTTAGAAATTTGATACCAAATCTTTCGTGTATAACCCCTGGACAAAAGCAGCTTTAGTCATAGTATCGTGTACAAAGTGTTTCTGTAACGATGAGATACGTCGCTTCATCTCCGCGCTCAGGGATATACAAAATATGGGGTGTGTTCATTGTCCAGCTCCGACTCGGCCTATTTCTAATACATTATAAAGTAAAACTTGCATATTGTCGAATAGAATATGGGTCACTAGACCGCTAGATCAAAAAGGCACTATGGGCGATATTCTTGGTCTACACGGTTATTTCTTGTTGACACAACTACATACATAACTGTACTTTCGTTATGTAAATATTCTAAACCTCCGAACCGAAATGGAATAGCGCGAAAGTGTATATTTTTTTTTCCAATTGGCCCCCGTTCAACGCCACATCTTGCCATTGCTCTGCGAATTGTCTGGCATAGTAGGAGAGGATTGCGTGTAGGCTACGTTACGTCATTTTCAAGCGAATATACAAGCGATGTGATGAATCTATAAACTCGCTCATATAAGATTTCAGTAATAACCCGCTCGGAACTTACCCCCGCATATAGGTCCCAGAGTGAATGAAGCAACATTTGTTCCAAGTCAGAATCGGCATTATCTCCATCATGTCAGACGTTTCGATTCTCCGACCCAGCGGGCTAGCCCACGTCGTCTTCAGAACGGCCAGCATCAAAGTTATGGTGGAATTCTGGTCCAGCTTCCTGGGCGCGGAGCGAGTGTTCGAGAATGAGTTCATTGCTTTTCTTCGGTACGACGATGAACATCACCGCGTCGCTATCATAAACGACGAGAGCACAGGCCCTCACTTGGCAACCGCAGCTGGACTTCATCATGTGGCCTTTACCTACGACACACTCCAGGGTCTTCTGAAAGCCTGGAAGCTGAGAGAGAAGCTTGGCATCAAGCCGACCTGGTGTGTCAATCATGGCCCTACAACCAGTGTCTACTACAAAGACCCGGATGGAAATGCTATTGAGACTCAGGTGGATAATTTTGACACAGTCGAGGAGGCGAATGAGTTCATGACTTCCAAATTCTTCCAGGAGAATCCCATCGGGACAGATATTGATCCGAACGAGCTGCTTCGCCAGCTAGAGGCCGGTGCGGCTGAGAAGGCCTTAAAAAGACGGATTGAGATTGGCATTCGACATGATATTCCTGCGGCAGTGTGATTATTGGGGGGGGAGGGTTGATAGAATAGGAAGACTATATCTTCAAATATACGTTGGGCTTTGAGAGAGCAATTTGATTTAATTGGATTCTTTTACAAGGCACATTATATTGAATTGAAATATGCTAGTGTATTTAATCCTCAAATCACTTAACCTCCGGACTATTACTTTTCTTTCTAGCTGTTGCAGATAGGTATTGCATGGAATGATCAACCCTTAGCTCTATTAAGCTGAGTTTATTCGAAAGAATGACAACATTACAGCCCACTTCCTACGTAGTTGAAGAGGTCCCAACCCAAGATCGAACGTCCACCCCGGCACCAGCTCGCGACATGACAGTGTCCGAGCTTTCCACGGTTGAGTCTCCACCCTAAAACCCCATTTTCGTCTCACATGGATATAAATCCGGCTGTTTCAAAACCGGGGACTCCGGAGCCCCAGGTTCCCCGCATTATGTATGTCTCCGCGCCAAAGAGGAAATAATTAGCTGTTGCAATATACCTTGACGCGATTTCAAGTCAGCTTTATAATACCTTATTGATGACTCGGTTTTACGCGGTTTCTTCAAAGTTTCAAGAATTATATCATCACACGATTACCGTCTTCAAATCTTTAGTCCGTGATCTGTCATTTTTGTCACCATGTCCGAGGAAATCGAAACCCCTATTGTCATCGTCGGAGGCGGTGGTTGTGGGTTGACCCTTTCAAGCTTTCTATCCAACTATGGTGTCGAGCACGTCCTTTTTGAGAAGCATACCGGCACCTCGATCCTTCCAAAGGCGCACTATCTGAACCAGCGCACGATGGAAACACTTCGCAATCATGACATGGTGCAGGAGATTCTTCAGAAGACCTGTCCTCCACGACACATGAGTCAGGTTGCCTGGCAGACCTCACTAGGTGGCTCCGGTATATTAGATCGTCAGGTGATCTCTAAATTCGAATGCTTCGGCGGAAATGACGGAACGGAGTTCGCGGAATCCTACAAGTACGACAGCCCTCCACGTTGAACATAAAAGATCCTGAAGCTGACTGTATATACAGACGTGACGCCCCGCTCCGCTCGGGGAACCTCCCGCTATTTCGGCTAGAACCAATACTAAAAGAACTTGCAGAGAAGAGAAACCCGGGCAAGATTTTCTTCGGTCATCAATTGGTGAATTTCACCGATGAAGGCTCTTCCATCGTTGCTAGAGTCTCTGACAGAGCCGGACGGGAAAGATCATATCGATGCAAATACCTCATTGCTGCAGATGGAGGACGGACTATAGGTCACAAACTTGGCATCAAAATGGAAGGTTTAACCAACATCGCCGATATGGTTTCGGTGCACTTCAGCGCTGATCTCTCCGAGTATTGGGATGGCCGCTACTTTGCTTGCCACTTCATCAATGGCGAATGTAACACTGTCTTCGAGAGCGGTGCAATTGTTCCTATGGGTCCGAATTGGGGCAGGCATTCTAAGGAATGGGTGTTTCATTGCGGATTTGCGATGGATGACCAAAACCGACACGACGATGCAGCACTGATTCCACGTATCCGCCAGCTGTTAAAGATCCCTGACTTGGAAATGGACGTGCATAAAATAAGTCACTGGGCCATTGAGAAAGTCGTCGCGGACAAGTATCGGGTGGGCCGAGTCTTTCTTGCCGGGGATGCGGGAAACCGTCGTCCGCCGACGACTGGTCTAGGGCTCAATACCGCGCTCGAGGACTCTCTCAATATTGCCTGGAAGCTGGCATTGGTTCTCAAAGGGCAAGCCAGTGAGTCTATTTTGGATAGCTACGAGCCGGAAAGACGCGCCGTCGGCGAGATAAACTCCGATTGGGGGTTGTTCACGTTCAGTAACTCCGCCGTGATCAATACTATCCTTGGACTCATCCCGGGAGAAAGAGAAGCAAACCAATTCCGTTTACAAACCCTATTCGAAGATACCGATAAAGGGCACAGCTTCCGAGCTCAAGTTGCGCGCATCATCGACACCCAAGCCATTGAATTCTGTGCACATGGAATCGAGCTGGGCTTCAGGTACCCCAAAGGCCTTGTTCTCCATGACGGAAGCCTCCCGACAAACAGGGACCCCCTGGGTATAAAATATCATCCGACCACACAGCCTGGCCATCGTCTCCCACATGCTTGGATCGAGACAGGGAACAGCGTCATCTCTACCCATGATCTGGTGTCAAACAAGCCAGGGTTCGCCTTGATTACGGACAGTGAAGGGGGTGACTGGGGAATTGCTGCCAAGAATATTCTCAAGAACCGTGGGGTCGAAGTTGTCGTGGCTCAAATTGGTGACAGATGCCTTTACCGGGACTACGACGATCGATGGAATGGCCTGAAAGGCATCCAGACTGGCGGAGCTATCCTTGTTCGTCCCGACAACATGGTAGCCTGGAGGTCGATCTACAAGAGCCGTCATGGCGGTAAGGAGTTGGAAGTTGCGATGGACCAGCTGCTGCTAGACGATACCGAGGAGCATTCCAAAGCGAAACTCTAAGCCAGGTAGATTATCTTATTCCGAAATTTATTTCCACAGTTTATAAGGCCTTGAATGTATCCTTTCCTCTTGTAGATGCTGCTGTTACTATGGGCTACTCTTAAATTCCCAAAATCGATACTTTCTTTTTTCATATTGCCACTGGATCGACGCCACGAAGAAGAGTGTCAAAAGTCCCGACCATGTCACACAGGACTTTCACCGGATACGAGCTCTTGTAGCAAGAGTTGAGACAACGGAAGTCTCATTTCCGGAGTTGTGTTAACCATAGCATTGGGAAACTCAAGGTTTAACTAAACTCGATCTGTTCGGGATCATATTTACGGGGAATAGGGAATATGGGGGGAATATGAGAAATTCGGGGTATTTCGCCCATTTGAGGTGCTCCTTCGGTGGTAATCTGATGTGAATAAAGCGTAGTTGAGAGCCTGTAGGCCCTTACCTGTTATCAACCGATGTATCTGTAGCAGAGACTACTCACCGCTTTTGGTGTTGAGAGTAGTCTCTGCTACAGATAGTTGAAGCAATTTATTCACGTCCTGGAGGACTGTACAAAGTCCTGTCTAGTGTCCGTACAATGGGATTAAAGATGAACTCGGCGCCGAAGTTATTAGATTTGAAAATTACTCGTAGTGAACCTTGTTGACAAGGGACCCAATTCGCTCAATACAAACTCGGATTTCATCTCCATCTCCAAGGAATATTCTGGGGGACCGGAAGTATCCAATTCCTGACGGGGTCCCAGTCAGGATAATTGTTCCAGGCTCAATGGTAGTTCCTTGGGACAAATAGGCGATGAGCTCACACACCCCGAAAATCATGTCACTGGTATGGCCCTCTTGAACCGTTTTGTTATTGTAAATTGCGTTGATTTCCAAGTCTTGGGGATCGGGAATAACGGCCGTGGAGACCAAAACCGGGCCTAGTATAGTAGGGATGTTAGACTTTCCTATAATCTTCCTTTTATTCAAGACTTTTGACTTACCCAACGGACAACTGGAGTCCATGCCCTTGGAGAAGCAAGGCATTGGAGTCTTCATCTGCATATCTCGCGCTGAAACATCGTTGGCAGCAGTGTATCCAAGAATATACCAAGGAGCCTGTTCAGCGGTAATGTCCCGAGCTGACTTTCCGATAACAATGACAAGCTCTGCCTCATAATCACTTGAGTTGTCTTGGGCAATCTTTGGGATGTTAATGGTACCCGGGTACGGATTGGCGATAGTGGTACGGGGTTTCGAGAAAAGGGCTGGGACAGTTGGAATTGGCATGCCAGCCTCCTGTTTTATCTTAGCGGCTCCCTCCCAGACTCCCCATATCATAATCGATAAGTGGAATTATGGTACTAAACAACGGCATACCAGTGCATGAAGTTTGTAGTTGAGACCAATGCAGCGAATGTAGGGACATTCCTCTGGAACAATAGGTGATAGTAGCTGTGACGAAACCTGAGTCGATGCGATGCCTTTTGGACTAGAGTGCCTGACAAACCTGGCGGACTTGCAAAGAGGTTTCTGTTACCCTGCCATTGTATATAGTTCCCTCTACTTTGAATGCATAAATGGGAATTCCATTGATAGAGTCTAGGCCGACATCACGCGTTGGGTCGACTAGTTGACCCAAATGGACTTGGTCATCCTCAGAGGCGACAAAGCGCACCAAATGTGTCCAAGAAGGCATTTTGAGCGCAAAACAATGAGAAAAGCCTTTTTGGAGCTCCCTCAGATGAACTGTAGTAGGTGTTGCAGCGTATTCACCAGGTAGCGAGGAGAATGGGCTCTTTGTATTGTTGCTCGGAGCGGATCATTTCCCATTTGGGTCGGGGGAGTCTCGGACCGACTGGTTCTGTTTACAAACAGATGACTGAAAGAAAAGATGTATGCAGGCACGTTTGAATATCATATTGGACTGCCCATTAAAGCGCTTATGATCGCCATACCGCAGTTTATAAACACGGGGCCTCAAAGAGAAAAGTAACTTGGCTGCGTATGAAGATCAGTTCCTAGAAAAGGTCCATTTTTGGGTACGGCCCAAGGTGCAAGCTGGCTTTTCAAAAAATGATCATGTCTCCTGCAGCTGAAAGATTTTCGAAGAACTCAGTCGAGAGGGTACTCAAGGCCTCGAAATTGGCATTCGAGGCAAAGACTGATGCCTGGCAAGGAGAGTATGGAATCAACATCCGACAAAAATCATTAGAGATCTACAGGCTTACCGGTTCTCCAGACATATTTACTGAGAAAGGGTCAGGTGAATAAGCGCTTGAGCGATTTGTGCTCCTAGGCGCTACCTTCGTCGCCATTCGTACAGCTTTGTTTGCTAGGCCGACGATTTCTCTCGCAAAAGTGAACGATACTTGTGACGATGTGAGAAAATGAACTTTTGCGAAATGACCGGCCGCGAGGTCGAGAAGCGCAAGGTCCGATTCGACTGTCTCAAGCGTCGGGGTCTGGAGGATGTAGATAAACAGATTGATAACCGCGAGCATGGGGAAGTAAAAAACAATCCTGGCAACTTAGCGTTCGCTCTTGGTTCCAGGCTGGGGGTAAAACAACAGATACTCACGGGGATGAAGACGACGTATCAAGCTCGGTATCCTGCAAAGTCCACAAAATCTGTCGTGAAGCTTCAGCAGCCCGCGTCGAGCTTTTCAACATTCGATCTTCCAAAAACGGCTCTTGGCGAGTAAGCAACGAACTTATCCACGGATAATGGAAATTTGCATTCAAAGCAATGACACTTCCCCAGTATAAGTAGTGTAGCCGCAAAGTGTTTGCTTTGCATTGGGAAGAGTTGTTCAACGGCCGGTAATCATTCTGCTTGGCTAGGGTTAAATGATCTGGGAGAGAATTTCGCCACATCCGAAGTTTATCTTCCAACGTTTCCATTGTGTCGAGGAGCGATTTTGGTGACTGATTAAATGCCCGTGCTGATAAAAGCTGTTTGCTTATCTTTGCGCAGATTTTAGCATGCTCTATAGCAGCAATAACCACTTGAATATCCGACCTGCTTCCATCAGGAAGCTCATTGGGTATCTCGCAGCTTATTTCATCATCGTCAAACGCCTGGGCTTGGATTAAAAACGCTGGAATACAAGGAAAGCAGAAGAAGGGAACGAGAACCGAAACATGATGCATACCGATGGACGGCCCGATCGCAACGCAATATTCTTGTCATAGCAATATGAGGCCCAAAATACCCAATTCCTGTGTACCACCTCTGACCTTGGAAGATTCCATGCCCTGGATGGCTGTCGGTGAAGACCCTTTGATTGTGCGAGTCGAACTGCTGACGCACAGAGCATGTACTCGACAGCTGGACTTCCTAAAAGCTCGGCGAAGGAAGTCTGGGTAACTAGTCAGTTTTATTGGTGTAGCAATCATTCAAACATACATACCATCACGACGAGTGCCTGTACGGCCATTAGCCCGCTGGGTCTAAATAGAAGCTCCGAAAAAAACGGAAAAGGCATTGTGAAAGAATCGCAAGGACTCCGACTGGATTTCTGCGAAGTCCCTAGTTCCGTCCACTGATACCGCGACTCGACGCCCTATTGCATACACAGCATTCCGCAGGGCATACCAAGCAACGTCCTCATCGGGTCTGCTGGCATTCTGGAAATGAATACGAAGTCGACTTTCGAAACTGGAGCGGAGAACAACACCGAAAACACTATCTCGCGAGTTCTCAAAATAAGCTATAACAAGTAAGCTTAAACATGACTGTAGCGTACATATAATTAATGACACGGGTGTGCGTACCTGACACGTATTTCCAAGCATTCTCGATCCCTGGCTCTGGGCATCTTTCACGAATTGTGTCTGAGCTCAGCGTCAATCTTTTCGTCCAACCCACGACCAGTCGCTGGGCAATTTCGTGGAATCGAGTGGTGCCCGCTTTAGCAGAAACCCATTGCACGCCCGGCGTTGAACAAATAGAGAGCCATGAACCAGGCCCTATTTTCATTAGTATTAATTATCGTGTCTTCAAAGCAAATTGGCTATAACCCACCATGATGCTCCCAGTTTATCTAAGATCCGATTCAGCAGGGAGCACTCGCGAGGGGGGCAAATATCAACATACAGCTTGGAGGTCCATTGTGGCCTCCTCTCGATCGATTTCAGACTCTCGAGGGGTCGGAGGCCTTCCGTCAACATTCCGTGTATTATTTTCATATGTCAACGTCCTATTGAGTAATGGAGAAGCATCTATTTCCCCAACTGCAAACTGATCCACTGATCCCGTCGTCTCCGTAATGTTCGGAGTAATCTGACTGGGCCCATTTAGGCTTGTCTCGGAATATATCTGGCTTTGCCTCACTTCAGCGATTGAAATGGACGGCTGAGCTGTCGGTTTTATGTTGGAAAACATATTGCATCCACCCCAGTCGTTTGGCTGCTGGATCGTCTCAGTTGGGCTGGCACAGCTGTGTATCGTGCGCTCTTCGTTACTTTTCCGCCCTCTTCGTTGCAAAACCGGGTAAGCACATTGTTGCTCACGGTCCTGTGGCCGGCATTTGTAAGAATGTCCCCTCCAAATATGGGTTGCGATTGTGGCATACCAAGCAATTCCCACAGGGGACAGCGCCGTCGCCTATGTAAACGAGATTAGCACGTTTCAGGCAACCTTTCTTACGTTACTAACATTTCACCTTTTTTTTCCTGCAGTGGCTACAAGCCTGTGATATCTTAACATGTTCTCTATTTGGAGGCATGGAAACTCGAAATGAGTATGATGACGAGACTAGGGTGGTTATGGGGAGGCGTAGAAGATCGTGCGGGGGAAATAGCGTTCCAGGTGCATAACCCTCCACGTGATGCGCAGGATCCCTCTAACCGCAGGTATTAGAGAGGGATGGCGATGAGTCGTGCTTGCTCTACAGGAAGGGCTTGGACGGTTGGAGGGCTGAAGCCGACTTGATTTAACCTGGCTACGCCACGACCCGTTTACAAAGGGGAAGTTGGCCGTTCCCGCGAGATACCACACTGCATATCTAAGGCCACGGTCACGTGGCCTTATACGGCAATGGACCCGTTAGGGCGCGCTCGGATCTGGAGGGCCTCGATTGGTATTGAGTTGGTCGCGCATCTCATGGTTGCCTATAGTATTTGTTGTGAGCTAAAAGTATTATGCTGGTCAATTCCTGACCTCCCTGAATTACCAAGATTGATTGGAAATCAATCGAGAGGTTGCATGTTGCATAACCCTCAAAAATTCCTGGCGACAGGAAACGAGTAACCATCCTCGGAGTTACGGCAAGTATGAATATACTGGTCACGAAACAGATGCCTAGATATGTAGTATTGCTTTCTTTTTCAACCTCCATATCATCATACGAGCGGCGTCATTGTAGGGATATCGTGCCCTTCCCTCCTGATATACTGCAATAATAATTTAGATTGAATGCTCGGAAATAGAGCGGAAAGGTGCTCCCCAACAAGACAAAAAAACCATCTGGGACCGACCATTCCATTTCATGGCGATCGGAGATCAGAGCACCGACATCCGATGACCGTCCGCAAGCCAGGCAGAAGTTTAATATTTAATGGTGTTGTCAAGAACATCTGGACCACCGATAGAATTAGAGGGTGGGCCGGGGGCTTGCCATAGCGTGCCGGTTTGGTTCGGCCCGAACATTTTCAGCAACTTAACAATACGCCAGATTACACGTCCAGGCTACAATCCTATGACACTCGAAACTGGCTTCGTGTTTCATTTTTTTTTTTCTGCAGTTGCTGCTCATGAACCCTCCGCATCACCATCTCGTCCTATCGAAAAAGACCACACCAATTTTTGCTCTCATCATGACTCCCATCACCGTCATTATCAACGTCAGAGTATTTCCTATTGTGAATCCCGTTTCATCTGCAGTTGGGGGTGCATATAAACCGATATTGACTGCGAAAACTGGACAGCCACTTCATTAGGGACACTAGCCAATTATTGGACAAGGGATTGGATGGCTTACGGGATTTCAAAAGGTTCATAACAATACTCACATCACTTGACTGTTGTCGATATGAATCACAAGAGTAGGTGAAGGTGACGGTTGTCGCGAGTTGTGTCCCAAAGCCTGAAACCGCCATACACGCAGCAGCAGAAAATAGGTCAAGAGCAGTGGCTGCGTCCCATGAGCGGATCACTGAGCTTGAGCGAAGCAAATGTAACTGCTCCTTATGTACCCACCGTCGTCTTTGGACCGGTCCCGCATATCTCTCTCCTGTTAATAGAAGATCCTACACACAACTATTTGCATACAAGAGTGAAACACCCGTTCATTCGACATCACGATTCTCTGCGGGGCAGATGACACGCCTACCCGATAAACACCCCATGTTTGGGGCGTATAGTATTTGAATTGTTTTGGCGGTGGTAAACGACATTCAACGCCCAATCATGGCAGAACAGAGCATATGTCGACCTGCGCTCGGTTGGATTCCATAGAGCGTGGTGACAATAATCTTGTTAAACTAAGACATGGATATTCCTTGTATTGAGGCTATCCTAAATCAAACAGTGAGAACCTTCAAAACCACCGAAGTAAACGTGCGCTTTTGGTGGGGTCTGACAAAGCTTCATTTGGCCAGCCACTTGAAGCTAGCTTCCATCAATTGTGCACACGAAGTAGGGTCATCGATACCGGGTAAATCCTGCTTGATAGAAAAGCCTTTCTGGAACAAAACCCAAGAGATACATCTATAGCTGTTCCTAGCATCCTTAGGGAATTGGAACTTGGCCGTCCCCTGAGGGATTACAGGCGTAATCAAGTCGCGGTCATAAATTGCCTCCAACGTGAGCAGCCTCCATTCATCTCCGATGTACTCGAGTCGAGAAATGAATCGAGTGTATGACACGCAGTCAAAAAAGGTCCCGTCGTGTTGGAAGCGGATGGAAATTGACCCTGTTGATTCAGAAAGAGCCTTCTTGCTGTGAAGATGGACCTCAACTGGACAGATAGTATGAACAGCGCCCGTTCCGCCTGTGGCCATAACTTTGGATCCTTCAACGAATCCATCGATATCCCCTTGAAACCTTGAAGCCTGTCTCAGATCATCGTCGCAGTTTCCTGATGGACAGGATCTTACCAGGTAATTTCGATACGTGTTTTCGACGCATCCGGGTGATAGCAAGCCCTCAGCTTTTCCCACTGACAGGTATCCCGGTAGTAGCGCTCGCGCACAAGGAGTGATTTGATCTGCGCCTCATCCAGCATGTGGTTGGTTGGTGGTGTCATTTTGTCTTTAAGAAAAGAAAGGCTTATGCCCGCGCGCCTTCACTACTACCGGATGCTTTCGTCCCAAAATTTGGATCTAGGCGGCGGGACTTATATTATAGTCCTAGCTACAAGCTTTCTACCTAAACGGTTCGGAGCAGCGGATAAACGGGAATGAGGGAAAACCGCCGAGCTATCCGTCGCATCATGATTGTTTTATTACATACTTCGAAACGAGGACTGTGCCTCCTTGCATCTGGAGTCATACACCAAGATCCTTCCAAACTCTTGGTGTTAAAGAGGTAATCACGCCTAGCTCTGAATGAGGAGCGGTAATCACTCCTAGGGGCGGGCATGGACTACCTACATGTTCACAATTGCACTATGTGAAGAAAATGGGAGAGGAAGAACATATTATACGCCACTGTCCTTAGTTTTCACTTATGATACTATCGACTTCTACGTTCAGTCAATCGTAATGGTAAATTCTTCTCTGATCAGATCTTTAAACTAAATGCGGTACAAATTGTACTAGTTCTTTACATTCCAATGATACGATCCGATCATGCCGTCAGGCATTATCTAAGCATCTCTCACCAAGGTACGTCATACCAGGGATGCAGTATGCAAAGGTATTGAACTTAACGGTCGAGGAAAATGGAAATAATACTTAGCGCTAAATCTTGACCTGGTATCCTGCTATCTTAAAGGATCGAAGGGCTTAGTTGGAGTGTCGTGTCACATAAAGCTACGACACTCTTTGATGTCTCATCCGGCGGTTAAGTTGTACTTGTACTGCAAAACGCGATTCTTCGCCACAGACCCGCAATTCAGCACTAAATCATGCTTGCCCGTTACCCTTTTGTCTTTGTTCTAGCTGCGATAGCAATTGTCTGTGGTGTACCATTACACCCCTCTGGATGACATTTAGTCAAGATGGCTATCACGACTGTTCATGTTTGGAATGGCTCCAAGTGCGACCCCGTGCCGACGGTTGTCTTCATCAACGGCAGGCTCAGCAACGCAAATCTGCACAATGCTACAATTGTAAACGGCAATGGAGGATCTCCTATTCCTGCCTTGATTGACGGCCACGGCCTATTTATGTATGTATTTAGTGTTTTGTGACAAGAAACCCTAAAGTGATACGCTGGAAAGGACATGTAGCATCCAGATGTTGCTTATTCCGTCTTCTCTCCATCTCGGGCCGGAAATATACTCTCATAGGTCCAATCGGATATATTATTTGGGTTTAAATACGCCGGTGGGTTTCTCCATGCCCGAAACACGGTGCAGCGAGCCCTCGCAAGTTCGATTATTATAAACAGGTAAGCAAGCCCCGACTTTTCTTTCTTTCTTTCTTTCTTTCTTTTTCTTTTTTTTTTTTTTTATCAAGTGCGCTCCTCTCATATACGGAGCCCTGGGACAACTTCACTTCATCATGGAGCCTTTCAAACTCTCTCTACCAAATGGCGCCATCATATCCGGCCGCTATAACTTTCCCCCAAGAGATTCCAAATCAACTCAGATACGGCCGCTCATTGTGTGCATCCCCGGCGGCAGCTATGACTCTCGGTACTTTGACGTGCAAGGCGCTCAATCCATATTCAACCTGTCAAGTTGCTTGAAAATTCCGGTCATCGCCATAGATCGACCTGGCTACGGAGCCAGTACGATGGCCCCCGACGTTGAAAATGCACCGACCTACGCGCAAGCACAAGGGATATACCTCAATTCAGTGGTCTTTCCTGTATTGTGGCAAACCTTTGCAGATCGTGCAAAAGCATCAGCGATGGTGCTGCTATCACATTCGATCGGCGCTATGATTGCAACGATTGCCGCTGGATCTTACACCGGCTTGGAGGATTATCCGCTGGCAGGCATCATAACATCTGGCATTGGCAGCGAGATCGTAGAGGGTCATAGGCAAGGCATGTTACATCTATTGGATGAACCAGTTGAGTTTGTTCACTTTGAAGCAACGCCAAAAGACGCTATCATGTTGCAACCCGCCCATATGAATCTTGCGCCATTGGAGGTGCGTCAATTCACCGAGCAGTTGAACCAACCGGTCCCCCAAGGCGAGCTACGGGACATTAACACGACCTGGCTTGGCTACTGGAAGGACTATTCGACAAATGTTAGGGTTCCGTTGCTATATGGATTGGGTGAATTCGACGGCCTGTGGACCTGTTCTGCGGAGACATTGGCAGAGTATAAGGCTGCCTTCCCAGAAAGTCCGAACGTGACGTGCGAAATAATCCCCATGGCCCCACACTGCATGGAGTTGAGCTTTCAAAGCCAGGCCTGGTATATGAAATGCTTCGCTTTCGCGATTGAGTGTATCGTGGCAAAATCACTACGGCCTACGGTGCAAGGTAACGAGGATCGTGATCGCGGGGTTGTATCAGGGGAAGAGCCTGCTTCTCCTGCGGGCGGGATCACGACCATTGTCTAGTACTACATCTAATGGGGAAGGAAATCGTGAATTTAGTCCGTAGCTTAACAATTTCACGTCATCTGCTATCACTCTTTTCGGCACTGTTCTAGGTTGGGTATTGTTTACCATCCGTGGCTTCATCGGTTACCGGTCAGAGCCCTGCTGCATCCTACAACAGGCCTACTGTCCTGTCTCCTCATACGGTCTACAAGCGTAACGCCGACCGGGATACAGTGTATGAAGCTAGTAGTACTCGGTAAGTCCCGCACGGAACAATACACCCGATATTGAACCTAAGGTTCATTGCCGGTCCGAACGAAAGTGGCTTAGCGCACTTCCTGGCACTTCATAACCTCGCGTCAGAGCAAGGTATAATATGAATTATTATGCATATTGGCGGATGAGATCAACGGAACCATCATTAGATAAATGTTGACGCTGCCTAATCAGGTCTCGCACTGTTGTTCTTCCCAAGCGATATCTTCTTCCCACAGTCAGGTTGATAGATTCAAGCAACATAATCAATCCAATCAAGGATTTCAACCTACATGACCATTAGACAATAAATATAGTGGGTTAATTGATCATTGAGGATACTCTGAGGAGGCCGAAACCCCTGTGAATGTCTCTGGTACTTGAGGTTACGACAGACAAGTCATGGAAAAAATTGTCTGGTCAAGCTGAGACAATAATAGGCTCATAATCCTCCCGGACGAGGTTTCAGGTAGATGATTTCACACACACACAAGCACTCTGTAGTATGTGACCCTTCTACATATAATTGGAAGCTGCTTGTGAGCGGCTTAGCTCCAATGTGGCCCTCTCCTTATTTCCCTGGACCCAAATATCTCGCAATGTGCTCGTCATAGTCTCGACTACCATCGACCGTATACATTGTGGATAGAGGGTCTCACAATTCCCCGGGCCCGCCATGCTCGCAATAAACACTTAACAACAAACAATTAACTGCAATAGACATTGGTTGGGAGTCGCAAGCGGTATAGCCTTGGCGCGTGGCTTTACTTCAAGCTCATCACCTAAGACGTACTCTGATGTTGCTGGACCCATCTATGCCATGGAATAAGCTAATAAATCGAGAACGGGGACGATCAACGGCCTCCACGTGGTAGCCGTGCGTTCCGGTTGTTTTTTTCTAACCCTCGCCGTCACCAAAGCGGACAGCAGGAAATACATACAACCAATAAATCAATCAAGCAATCCTGACATGTGTGTGAATTGAACGGCTATCTCAACTCTTTGTGATCTGAAGTGGTGAAAACTAAGTTATGAAACCTAAAACTAACCCTCGTATGCAACTACGTTATTCCTAGTCTTTTTTCGTATTGTTCTTCTTGAAGCACAAGGAGCCAGTCCAGTGGCTGCTGTTCTATATACATTCATCATTATGGATGCTCATGCAAATTATCAGCACTTCGCTCTGGTAGAGAAAGTTGTTTATTACTTATTATACAAAATATGGTCATAATCAGGATAGTATCGTGGAATACCGTCAAGATATTCTGTCAGCCTCTCCAGACTTCAACACAGTGTGGCGAGAGCACCCGTTTTCTAACCGAAGATAGCCCCCATGACAATGACCACCAAAGGATCAGGCAAGCTCCACCTCGTGTTGATGAATTTTATAACAGTGAACTAATCCCCTATAATGTAGGAGACTAGCTTACTCGGTTCTCAAAGTGATGTCAACAGGAACCTCGATTTTGACAGTGCGGCTTCCAGCTTCCTTTGTCATGCAATAAGAAAAGATGAATTCAAGGGTATACATGCGCGAAATGAAGCAGGATTGAAAACTCGGTACAAGGTCGTCATGCTTCGGAACGGAGATTGGGACAACGATTGATGTTCTATATAAGATTTCATCATCTGTGAAGGTTGGCAGACAGCCCTGCCGGGAAGATGAAACGCCGGTGCTGGGTGTTGTTACTTTGACCCATTGAGCTGATTCAATATCGACTGTTGGAAGCGTCAAAGACTGAACGTGATTTCCTTGCGGTAAATTGGTGCTTTTGCTCTGTCCAAAAGACGGATATCCGTTCCGCGGGGTTGCGTGGAACGATGTTACCAAGTTCAACCTGGGATACACCTTGCGCAGACGAGGTGGGGCTCCTGTTCGAACCGGGTTATATACAAGGTCTAGTTTTATCGAGGTGTTGGCCTGGTCGGTAGCGTCAATCTGATGGAAGGGATACCGTATGCACCCAGCAGGTGAAGCTAGGACGGCCAAGCGTCCAGTGCATTTCCCCCTCCAGCCCCGTCTAATTTTCAGTTCTTTGTGAGATGTGAGTGTATTGATGGCAACGCCACTGGAGCCACCTATAGTGCCAGACGGCAGTATTTTCACCGGTCGAACAGCGTTGACTAAGCTCTTTGTCGGCTGGTCTTTAGGGTAAAATGGCCTCGAGATAACCACTCGGACGATGTAATCAATAGAGAAACATTCTGTGTCTGTCTCCTTGCAAATTGAGGGAGGTACTTTGGTATGAGGATTTGCGATGACTGTATCGTCGACTTGGTGATTGCATGGTGTGAGTGGTAGGTTCTCCGGCACAATGAACGTAAATGGGAACTTGTAGCACCACCCCGGCTCTAAAATCGATCCTGGTTGGTATGGACTCTTCTCAATTGGATAATAGAATTTCATGAAGGTTTGACGAGCACTAATAAGTGGTAATCCGTTGATGCCTCCCCAGGTCATTACCCTCGATATCCCTTCAAACGTGATCTTGATATCGCCAAAGGCAGTTTTCTCTGCCACGGTGATAGTCACCACTCCTTCGATCTTATCTGACGTAGTGAACACCTTGGGGTGTTTGTCCTCGGCACCGGCGATATTAATGGCCACTGACACCATTGAGGAAGAACCTCCGGTATCTGGATAACATGAGCGTAAGAGAGCCGGTATCTTGGTCATGCTAGCTGTTCCTCCGCTTTTCTTCCGCCGACAAAAATGAGGACGATGTAATATTGGAGCAAGACGAGGTTGAGCTAGTGGGTTAACACTTCAGAAATTCGCTCGACGGTCGTCTTTTCGGTCAATTCGAGACAAGGGGACCTCGCAATACAGGAAACATTTTCCTTTTTTATACAATGGACCATCTGCACCTTCACGGGAAAGCTGCGGTTGATCCGTGGACGGTCCGTGCCGGGCCGGGGGTTTCCTTACCAGTCCTTCCCGGACCACCCTTCCGTCCCGGACCATCCTTCCGAGATTCTCTCATATATGGAAACGTTCACCTTAAGTTTGTATTTGACAGTGCATCTACATTAGATCTAGACCGTTCTCCACATATTCATGCCCACAGATTGATGAAACCTCTCTAATTACATGCTCTGGTCGGCAATACTTCGGTGTATCACTTTCCGGATATATAATCAACGGGGGGTGTAGTGCGAGTTTATGTACCACTTATATAAAAGTGATATATTTCAGCTTCCTCCATAATATACAAGGAAAACAGGACACCGAGAACTATCTAGGGAGCTACGTCCTAACCTCTCCATTAAACTCCTGCAACTTAGCCATCTGCCAATATTTCCCGCCGAGCTTCATCAGCTTTTCATGACAGCCCCTTTCAATGATGCGCCCTTGATCCAACACTAAAATCTCATCGGCATCCACAATCGTCTTGAGCCGATGAGCAATGGCGATGACGGTTCGGCCTTTCATTGCCTGCTGGAGTGCCTTCTGGACTAGTGCTTCCGAGGCACTATCCAATGCGGAGGTTGCCTCGTCAAATAAACTATAAAGAGTCAGAAAACCAAATATATAAGTAGGATCAAACCTTACAAGATCTTCGGCTTCCACAAAAGTGCCTTGGCAATTGCCATGCGCTGACGTTGCCCCCCGGACAGAGTGGATCCGTTGGCCATGACCGGGGTGCTCAGTCCTTGAGGGAGGGATATCTAGTCATGATCAGATTAATAGATGTAACGAGAAACGCGTGTGTGGTAAACGGATAGAAAACGTACCACGAAATCAGCTAGTCCCACATCCTTCAACGTAACCATGATTTCGTCGTCTGGGACGACTCGCTCGTCACTCTGCAAACACTCGCGCAGATCTTCACCCACCAAGCATGGATTCTGGTCGACCAGCGCCAGGTACCCTCTGTAATCGCTCAGATCATATTGTTCAATGGGACTATGCCCTAGCGTTATTTGACCGGACTCAGCAGCGTAGAACCGCTCTATCAGATTAACAACCGAGCTTTTCCCACTGCCAGTTGCTCCGACGAGAGCAATGAAGCGCCTTGATTGGGCGCTGAAGGTGACATCGTTTAGCGCTAGTTGAGAAGGACGAGTGGGGTATCTAAAGTTAATGTGCTGCACTGCGAGGTCCTCCGTGGTATTGGGCATAAGGGTAGAGGTAAAGCCTTGCTTTTGGTCCCTTTCCGGGAATTGTCCTGGGGGATCGTCGGGCTGCATCAATTCCGTCAATCGAGCAGCAGCAGCGTGGGCCCCCGCAATGTCTGGTGCGTGAGCAAAGAGAGTAGCGGCAGATTGGGATCCCCAAACCGTAGCCGCGAAACAGATGAAAAATTGTTGAATAGTATATTCGCCCGTCGCGATGAGGCGGGTGCCGCCATACCAGAATACAAAAGCAATACTCAGTATACGGAACGATGTAGTGCAGGCATGCAGGGTGGCAGATATAGCCCAGTACCAACTACTCCTCTCTTGTTGACTTTCTCTTTCAAAAGTTTCGAGAACGGTGCTGTGTAGGTCTAGTATTGCCACTGTTTTGATAGCGGAAAATGCTTCGTGCGCAATGGCCACAGCATTAGTGTCGCGCTTCACGTGCTTCTGTACTTGTGCCTCGATATAGTATTGCAGGAAGCTGGACATGGCTATCAATGGGACGGTAGCCATTGCCGCCACGCCGAGCTTCCATCCGAAGATACATCCAACTGTGATCCCGGTAGCAAGCATTACGATGCTTTCGGCCATCAATCCGAGTGATGTTCCTGAGACACCCGTGATTTTCGGAGTGCTTGACGAGAGAAAGCTCACCATGGCTGCAGTTGAATGATCTCTATGCTCGAAAAAAATAAGGGCTTTCTGCAGGAGTGCCCTGAACAAATGCGACCGTGCTCGGAGATGCAACTGAGACGCAGATACAGCAAAGCAGTAGCCTCGTACACAGTAAACAAAAAATACCACAACACCGTGAATAAGATACAATCGGGCCCAAAATTGAACATTGTGCCCTCCGGTGCTTGCACTAGGGCTTATGATTGATATGATCCCATTGCCGAAGAAGATCGCTTGGACAGGGTATGTCATCCCAGCTAAAGCGCTGAAAATGATACCAGAAATAACGAATGGCAGCTCAGGCTTGTTCAAGCGCCAAATTTGGCTAATACTACTCGTTGATGATGAGTTTGTAAATGAAGTATCCACAGGTTTCTTCAGAGCACCAACATCGACTGATATATCCCTCGTTTGGCTTTCGGCTCTCTCTGCAGGGGATGATGATTCTCGAATTCCCTCGCTCTGCTGGAGTGCCTGCTGTTTGATCAGTTCGCGGTACGTCCCAGACGTGATCATTAACTCCGAATGGGTGCCTTGATTTAGAATCTGGCCGTCTTTCATGATAATTATAGCATCAGCATCTTGAACTGTTGATAGCCGATGAGCTATTATCATGGTTGTTCGTCCGTAGACGGCCTTCCTCAAAGCCTCCTGAATTTCCTTTTCGCTTTGACTGTCCAATGCGGCAGTAGCTTCATCCAGCAGCAGGATGGATGGCTGGGATACAATGGCGCGAGCAATTGCGATGCGTTGCCTCTGTCCACCTGAGAGACTTGACCCATTAACACCGATCACGGTATCGTAACCGTTGGGAAGATTGGTAATGAATGTGTGGATCTGCGCGGTCTGGGCAGCTTGAATTATTAGTCCTCGAATGGCAGATGCGTCTAGTGCCTGTTCTAGTATGAGCGAACTAACTTGGCAAAAATCAATGGACACTGACAGACATACCTTGACGGTACTCTTGGGTAGGCCATGAGCAATATTCTCATGAATCGATGCACGGAACAAAGTAAGATCCTGACTAACATATCCAACCTGAGACCTGAGCCAAGAGACATTCATCTCCTCGATCGGTTCATTATCTAACATGACGCCACCACCGGTGGGATCGTATAAACGTGCCAAAAGGGCGAAAACGGTCGACTTACCAGATCCTGATGGCCCGATCAATGCTACAGTATGTCCAGCAGGCACAGTAAAACTAAGCTCTCTCAGGACAGTTTGTTCCGGTCGTGAGGGATAAGCAAACGATACATTGTCGAAGCAGATCTCTCCCCGCACGGGACCGTAAATGCGTCCCGTATTCAGCATAGGATTAATCGGTGAAACACGCTCAATAACTGAAAATACCGGGTTGGCAGCTTTGCTGGCCCTGGTGACATCCACGACATACGGCAATGCTTGACATAGCATCCCTCCTGCGACAACTGTTGCGTAGAGGATGGACAAGGCCTCCGAAACCGTACAACGTCCTTGGCGGAAGAGGCGATCAGCCTGCCAGAACTACCCATCATCGTTAGCAGGCCCTAGAAAGACTGGATCTATACATACACCCAGCCCATTAGCCCAATGCAAAATCGTAAAGGAGCCTGCCACAATCACTCCGAAGATCAACCGCTCCCGAAAGTCTAGGGCGGCCGGCTCCAGCAACGTATCGTGATACTTTCTCGCATATCTTTCTTGGCTTCGGTAGGCAATAACACTCCTCATAGCATTGAGGACTTCTTGTGCTAGATTTTCAAGTTTAACGGAGTGGGGCAAGCCCCTTTGCTGCGTAACGCTTAGCCAGTATCCCATTAATCCCACTAGGAGAATCATGGCAATCGGCTGCGTGATCATTATCGATGCGAAGTGTTGGTTCTGGATAAATGCGCAGATGATGGCAACAATGAACCCAGACACTCCCGATATAATGTTCCCCATCTTCTGCGAGATACCTGTTTGGATTAGTTTCATCTCCTGGTCTATCCTGGACGTGAGCTCTCCTGTGCCGACTACATCGAAGTACGCCATGTTCTGCTGCAGGACTGAGGATAGATATCTGCGTTGGAGGCGACGTGTAATCTGTTCTCCGACTACATTGAGACCCCACGTGCTGATCATGGTGGCGACAAATGACCCGATGGCTAAATCACGTCAGATAAAATGATGATAGAATAAGTCACAATGGTCATACCGACATAAACTAGTAAGAGGGTGAGATGCTGAACCCGGTCTCGAACATCATGCGGTGCTTTCTCATCCCCATTGATGAATTCACTTGCCAAAGCCCCGAAAACAATCGTCACCAAGGGCATTGCAGCCCCGCCAACTACTGCACAGACTACTGATATCAGCAATGCGCAGAGCCATGGTGCGTTTGCACATCGGTAGATTGAGAAAAGGTTCGCAGTGCTGGGCTCTATGCGAATCTGACGTTCAATGATTTCGGCTGCACAAGGAGTATCTGAGATCGGCGGGATCTCACCCAGCAGGATTTCCTCGTCGGACATCCCGTGTCTTTTTGAAGAGCATCACAGCGTGTTGTCAAACTTGCCTTATTGTTTGGAATGGTTGATTTGCAGAGATGGGCATGCCGTGGTCACGTGGATCATAACATTCCCCAGTCGCTGGCTGGATGGTATTTGGGATGGCCTGCAGGCCGGTGATCGATACATCACATCTTTTCGGATAAATACGGAATTACGCTACTCATTTTTCCTATGTGCTTCTACAGAATGCCAGATGATGGATTATAACGACACAAGTTTAATTACCTAGCCCGAAATCCTGAAATTCAAGAGCATTTTATTGAAATTCACACCAGTGAGAACAACGCATACAAAACCCATTATTAGAGTGTCACCACGCTGTGCTGAAGCTTTCGAGGTGGATTTGTCGCCCATATTGTTCAATTTAGAAGGGACAACAGATTTAGGGTAAAAAGGGGCATACTACCTAAACGAGAAGCTTCCAAAGAAGACGGAATTGCAGAAGTATGCCCATAACCTCAGAGTAAGTCTTGGACGATGAGGTTTCGTTGTACGCAACGGCTGGCTGGTCCGCTCCATTGGAGAGGTCCTTTGCCTGGGCCTCCTCGATGCCAAGCAGACTCGTCAACTGCTTGTGGATCGAAGGCCATGCCTCAGATCGAGTCTTAAACAACAGCCACCAGTCGCCTGCGGCATCCTTACCAATCACCCTACAAACGTTACGAGTCGGGTACAGACGACAATGTTCAATGTCGTTGATATAAGACGGTCTGCCCAATGCATGAGGTCTTTCGCTAAGAGGCATACCGGGGGCAACAACGGCCGCCGAGAAGTCAGTCTCAAAGTATCTGGCTTTGTGCTGATTGGTGTGGGTCATGAAAAGCAGATTCGAGTCCCCGACGAGGGGTGGAATCTGCATAACTGATTCCCGTTGAATGGCAGTCATCGCTTGGACTTGTTCCTTCGTTCTGTGTTCCACGAGAGCCTGGCGGTTTTTGCACGCCAAGTGTGCCAAGTTGTTCTCCTCGAGGACCTCGCTCGCCCTGTGTACCGTGTAGGAATTGAAGAATGCGTTGCCAATGAAGCCCTTAGCGCCGGCAGGGAACGACTCCTTAAACAGACTCCACACGTTGAAGGGACTCATCACCATGACTGTTCGGCCGGGCGCAGGGTTTAGGGCTGTGACCATGGTCTTCACCCACCACGCAGAGACAACATCGGGCTCGCTCAGGAAGGGAACTTTCGCTCCCTCCTCAGTGGCAGCAGCCAGTTCCTGTTGTGCGGTTTCCCTCATCCGTTCCACGCAATGTCCCGGAACCCGGATAGGATGTTCTTCCTCCTTGCGGAACCAGAACAGCTCGAATAGATACCTGAGTCCGAAGAGTACGAGGCTCAGCCCGGCAACGAGCCGCCCGAAGTGGGTATAGCTTTCCCGAGGGACGTCCTTGCCCAAATCGCACAGGGGGTCCTGGTCAAAAGGAACAAAAGGTGGCACCTCTCCTTCCCGGCCTTCGAGAACAGCTATCCATGCCTTGAAGAAGTTGGTTCGAGCGACTGCGTCAAACAAGGTGTGAAGGTAGCTGACCGTCAGGAGAGTTGCGTCTTGGAAGATGGTAACATGGACATGCAGCTGCGGACGGTCGGAATAGATCCAATCGGCCAACTCTCGGGGGCTATCCGGATGGCGGACCAACGGAGCAAATTCCGCGCAAGATGGCGACAACACAGACTGGTCCTGGCCGGTTTTCGGCAGCCGGGCACCCAACGGGTGTTCATTGATACCTATGCCATACTCGGCGGTGGTAAAGCCAAATGCGGGACGGGTGCTCTTGTCATACTCGGCGGGTATGTGATATTCAAGCTTTCCACTATCCTACATATTAGATTATCACGTCAGTATTGTGGGCAGGTTATGGTTCGCGAAAGGCCTTACATTCAGTCGCAGGCGAGCCCCCAGTTGACCCCAGTTGCCGGTTTCCATCAGCCGGTCGAGTGCTGCCTCGAGTTTTGACGCATCAAGAACGTCATCAAAGCGGAAGGTAAAGTCATGGCAAAGGCTACGTAGATAGTGCAAATCATCCCAGTATCGTAGAGGGACAATTCGATCGGTGGGTATAGTTGCTGGCCGTGTACGGCCAAAGATAGAGAGGAGACCCATTGCTTGCAGCCTCCGTCGGGGATACGCCACCAATGCTGGTCTAGGGAGGGGTACGAATTCTTCAAATAGCACCTTCTAAAGCTCTCTCCCTGTGCTCATAAATCCTCAAGGTTTTTGGTATGTCTCTAAATCGAAATGCAAAGCGTAACATCCATGTGGTGGGAAAATACTATAGGGGAGCCCCTTGCTTCAAGGGGATAGTCGTCATTCCATATGCTGTAAGGTATGAAAGAGCGGTATGCCAGAGAGTGGAGCATTCCACTGATTCCTTTAACTACAGAGATGATGTCCCATATATGCAAGTTTGCTATCATGTCAGTCAATGTCTGTACGTCCCATATGACTATCCTCAGCTCTATCTAGCCCTGAATACTCCGTAAATATCTCCCAAGTGCCATCATTGGGAAGTAATGCCGATAGTAGTCGTAGCCCAAATAAAAATGATTTGGAAATCCAGTTCCCGTGTACACTGGTTCAGGCCAGGTATATCCAAGGCTTCCATGCGGCCTTTGAGAGGAGACCAGCCACCGTATGCCCCGTTCAATAGCGATGTCAGTGTGGGGAAGGTGGGCCAGCAATCCCATGAGGGCCCATGCTGTTTGCGACGCGGTCGATCTTTGCTCCTTTCTCTCGGGCCTTTGGTATGACAGCAAGGATTCACCCCACCCGCCGTCCCCATTTTGCTGCGACTTCAGCCAATGCAAAGCCGGCTGGGCCATGTCGAAAATTTGTTTATTGTCTTTGGAAAAGTACGCCAGACCACACAGTGCATGACTAGTCCCATAGATGTAGTTGCACCCCCATCGCCCGAACCAAGCTCCATTGGGCTCACGCGTAGAGGCAAGATATTGAATACCACGCCTGCACGCTGCACGTATTGTAGGGAGAAGTTGGACAAATCCGCTCGCATTGTCCTTTTCAGGGGCCCGGACAATCATGAGGCCGAAAGCTTCCAGGATCCGCCCAGTGATGTCGGCGCAGGACGTGTCACATAAACTATCCATGTCACTGAACGGGATTTTGTTGAGGAACAACTTATCATTCTCCACGTCAAACGCAGCCCATCCTCCGTCAGGATTCTGCATGCCCAGAATCCATGTTGCTGCTGCGATCACGGAGCTAGAATTAACCGATCTCGCGTCATGCTTCACCTGCGCAAGGATGATCGCCGCGGAGTCGTCTATATCGGGATAGTGGCTGTTCGTGTACTCGAAGCTGAACCCCCCAGGCGCGAGTCGAGGTCGGTATACACGCCAATCACCGCGGAGTTCGAGCAACTGGCGGTCTCGGATCCATTGAACAGCGCGATCGACGATCCGCTGATTCGGGGACGCGGCATCGCAGAGCGCAATTGACATCAGAGTTGTGTCCCATACCGGTGAAACGCAAGGTTGAACCCTTTTACCCTCTGCATCTTCCCAAGCAAAATTTTCTATTGCTTGGATGCCAAGCCTGACAGGGGGATCATCTAGCTTGTACCCTTCCAGTACGAACGCATACACACTGGCATGCATGGGCGGGAAAATTCCGGCCCAGTCGCCGGTGGGTTCTTGGCGCTCCAGAATCCATTTCATGCATTGTTGCCGTGCGTATGACCTTAGTAGAGGAATTGATCGAAGGCTGTTCAGCTGATAAAGCAGTTTGTCCAGGATGCTGAATGTCAACCCCATCATGTCTCCCTGCGATAGCAGCTCCCAGAGGGATGGACCGTAGGGCACGTTTTTGCTCAAGGGGTTGTGCCATAACTCGTCTAGATAGTTGTTCTCCGGAAATATTCCATTCGGGAGGGCATATACTGGCTGATGATGGCAGATAATCAAGAGAGGGGCAATGGTGCCGCGGGCCCAAGATGCGAACTTGTAGATGTTGATTGGACATATGGAAGGGAGGAGAATCAACTCGACAGGCAGCTGGGGTACTGCCTTCCATGGAAACAAGCCGAATGTTGCCAGGAAAATGCGAGTGAACACACGAACCTTAGCAACGCCTCCCGCATTGAGAACGAATGCTCTTGCTCGTTGCATGGCTGGGACGTCTACACTCACCCCTAACATTTTCAGTGCGAGATACGCTTCGGTTGTTGTCGATACATCTCCTGGAAACTCTGGCGCTAGGCCCCATGAGCCGTCGCAACTTTGCTGAGATAGTATATGGCGACAATAGGCCGCTCCGTCAACTTTCAAGCCCAGTCCCAGAGCCTGTCGGAGAAAAATATATTCGGCCGTTATGGTCACATTTGACCTCATCTCCCCACACCAATGCCCATCAGGGTGTACCATATTATAGGCATAGTCGATAGCACGCTGTAGAGTCTGCTTTACCTCGGGAATTAATTGCTGTCTTTCGGAGAAGTCGTCTTCAAATTGTCGATGTTCAGTCGTCATGCTTGTGGCGATGGAGCTAAGAGCTGATTGATTGATTGTTGGGATCCTGTCATTCAGTTTACGGATGGAGGTTTGGAAAATCCGCAATGCAAAGAAAGCCTTGTCAATTTATGCTCGATGTTTACTTTTGATTTAGACACGTGTAGTGAACTCGCCATTAAACTCTGTTTGCTTCTGCCATGCTCTCTTGTGGTAGAACAAACCTATCATTGCATAAATCCTTCCACGTTTTGTGCCACCAACTTGGCCAAACTCCGCTTTTGTTCTTGTCTAAGAAGAAAAAATATGAAGAGGTGCTGCCTTTGCAGACCGCAATACACCCCTTGCATACATCCATTCGATACATCTCTTTTTTCCGAAGGAAAGATCCTCCTAGCAGACCCACAGGGTTCCGTAGGGATCACAACAGGGATTGTCTTGATCAACTAAACCCCGATGTGCGTAACTCACTAGGGCAGCGCGTCTTAATAGCGATAGGATGCGCAGCACCACATTTCAGCCAAAATGATGCAACCAGCTGAAGCCTCAAGACCAGCTGCTCTCTCTAAACCCCTCACGGTAACCGTTGTTGGGATTATTCTTATCCTATTAGTGCAAAGGCTGCACTGGACTCTGAAGCTGCGAAAGCTAGAACGACTCTACGGCTGCGAAAGTCTGCGCAATGAAAATGGGAGATATCGATATGATTTTCTCGGCATCGCCAAAGCCATCGAATTAGCATTTCATTTCAGGCGCCGAACCTCCCTTCCCTACACCAACGCATTGTTCAAGACCTACGGGGAGACCTATGCCTCAAATGTTCTTGGCTATCGACTCATCTTTACCTGCAGCGCGGAAAACATCAAACATTTGTTATCCACAGCATTTGCCGACTTTGACAGCTCCCCATTGCGAAAGCCCTTATTTGAGCCTATCACCCCACATGGCATCTTTACCCTAGACGGTGCAGGATGGAAGAAAAGCCGAGATCAGTTGCGCATTCGCCTTTCTAACCTCCGCAAAATTGTTGACTTAAACCAATGCGAGCGCCATTTTCAGGCTTTTCTTCAGCACGTCCCACCCCATGGGCAGGCGTTTGACGTTCAAGCTTGTGCTTTTGCTCTCGCTTTAGATATGCAGACCTTGTTCTCGCTTGGGGAGTCGGTTGATGCCCTTAGTCTTTCTCAATCTAGAGAAAAGAAGCAATTCGTAGCGGACCTGCTTTTTGTCAAGGAGACGATTGTGCAGGATGGCTTTCGTGGCCCGCTCCGCTATCTATATCCTAAGCGACGGTTTTTGCGATGCTGTAAGCGGGCACGGAAATATGTGATAGCTCATGTCGCTCGGCAGCTCAAAGAACGCACTAGCATGAGCGAAAAGAAAGGAGACTCTCCTGGGCGCGATTCTAGCACGGAAGATGAACAAGTCTCTCTATGGGCAGATCAGGGTTTGAGTATCCTACTCGCGAATGACAGCATGAGCACCACCCTCTCGGGTCTTTTCTTCTGCCTTTCCCAGGATGAGCGGGTTGTGCACAAGCTAAGGGCAAGCATCCTTGACACTGTTGGGTTGGAGCCTCCGGCATGGGGTCAGCTCGGATCTCTGCATTATGTCCGTTGGGTCCTCCAGGAAGGTGAGGAATATTGCAGCAATATTAGCCATGAGCATACACTGACATCCTAACCCTCGAAGTAATGAGGCTCTTTCCGGCAGTTGTCTTCAACGCCAGGGTAGCCAACAAGAACTCTACCCTGCTAAGCGGTGGTGGGACTGACGGCAACTCCCCGGTGCTTATTCAGAAGGATGAAATCGTGGTCTTTTCTACCTGGGCCAGGCATCGTCTGGGGGAGGACTTTGGCCAGAACCCAGAGGAATTCTATCCAGAACGGTGGGAACATCTGAGTGGAGACATGATTGGGTTTATTCCGTTCAACAAGGGGCCTCGAGCCTGCCCTGGTCGTAAGGCCTCGTCCCCGATTATTGTCATATTTACTTGTTTACTGACTCGGGTGTAGAACATTATGCAATGATTGTGCTCACCTATCTTGTGGCTCGTATATTTCAGACATTCTCAACGGTCTCGAATTATAATACACATGGTTGGACGGAGAGGATCAGCATGACGCTCGAGAACGAAAATGGGGTTATCATAGGTCTAAGCTAAAATGTCTTGGATACAGTTTCTGTAGGGGTACGTAAGTCACTAGGATCTACTCAACCCCCATGAAGAATCGAGTTCAAATACCATATCTATGTTTGACATGGACTGCTTTCTCAGTCCAGCTTGGTTTGTAGGATAGGCTTGATACAGTCCACCAGTATGCCGACCAAGTGGATGTGAATAATGTCCGCCCGGTTCAAATAATACCCGGAAGCATGACGAATCTCTTAAACTTGTACTTAGCCCCAAACCCCTGCCGGTAGCGACGCTCCTTCTTCTTAGCCCAGATCGCCATTTGAACGCTTCCGATAATGATGAAAAAAAGAATGCTCCAGCTCAAGCCACTGACAAAATAAATGCCTATCCAGGCAATAATCTCGAAGAAGTAGTTAGGGCAAGTCACTACCCCGAATCCAAATCCGCACGGTACACCACGTTCAGTGGTCCCTGAACGGCGGATATCCCGTAGCACCAAGTGGGTGTTCAAGTTGGCCAGTTCTCCAAAAGCAAAGAGGCCAAGACCCGTATAAAGTAGCCAGGGGCTGATCAGTTCTTTAGCCGCAGCCGCCGCATCGGGCCGAAAGATCCAGTAAGCCATGTTGCAGCTCATCACGCAGTAGTAGCCACTGTTTTGAACAATTTTGCGTGCAGGCATTGTGGCATTGCTGAATCGGTGGACGAAGATGGACTCATACTCACGTTTCACGAAGTGGACTGTCAACAACGCACAGAGAAGGAGCTGAAGGCTACTCGGTTCGGTGGTGGTGTCGTAGTGGGAATCCAAATATGGACGTAGAGGGAACAGGAATAGCCACGGGATGAAGACTGGACCGAGGTATTCGGCGATGTACACGGCGCGCCATGAAATCTGGGGACCTGAATATGTAAAGACGGTACTATCAGTCAAGTCCCCGTAGCGGCCACTGTGGTGTGAGTATACCAAGGTCCTTAACAGTGACTACATCCATGTCCTCGACTCCAGCTCCCTCAATGGTAATCTCTTTAGAGTTAGGAACCAAGGTGCAATCGCTCTCGTGGGTGATTCTCAGACGATAGATGGATAGTCCCGACGATCGGGCAAGAGCATCGTAGAGTTCCTCTGTTGAGGCATGGCGACCAATTCGGACCTGATGTGGAAGGGATTTGATTGAACCACCTATATCGCTATTTACTAGCAACCCAGCTGATTGTGAAAAGAACTTACCCCTTGGCCGAATAACCACCGTAATTCTGACGGGAGTCATTGGCCTGGATTATAGAAATTAACGCGAATTCCAATTTCATAAAATGAAATACTGGTTACTGCTTAACGGTCCTATAAGATGGGCGAAAGATTAAACCCAAATGAATAACTCAAAATTGAGGACGCCAGGAAAAAGGGCTTAATGTAAAGACAACGATCGGTGATGTCATCACGTGATCGTATATGCATGACATGCATCGATCTATGACCATTGCTTCTGAGACCCAAGCCCTTCGCACAATACACGTAAATGGATTTAATTATGTACAGGTACCCCAAATCAGTGTGGAAACTCCATCTGGAATGCGAGGGTTGTTGTGTCGGGCAACTTCTTGCTCACAAGTCACGCTTTCACTACTAGTGTATAGGTGGAATGTTTTGCTGCGAGTTGGATCCTGTTACCAGTTGTAAGGGCAGTATGTGAGTGCTCTGTATTCATTCTGGTCTCTTTTCTGATTATTCGGTAAATATATACTACAGCTCCATTCACTTCTAGTCTTGTTGATTACTTTAACTTAATCTAGGAACTAATCCTAGAATAATTTATACAACTGATAGTGCTTCTTTAAAGTATATATAGATCAACTAATCTAGTCCATAATTTAATTTCATTTATATATATTTAGGGAGATTATAGAGATAAACGTTAATAATCCTTCTCAGTTACTATATACTATATTTAAATCGTGGCATAGCGAAACACTCATTGCTATCATTTAGAAGACCTACCCCACCCATAGTGGGACCTAGCCATAGCCGTAGTAGGAGGAGAAAGCATTGGGCCGCAGTCGTCCCTATAGGCACATAAGTGAGTCGCTCGTTGAGGAGAAATTCCATGGGTCGGAAGCTTCCTTCACCGTCACTGAGCCGAACCTACTTTGGCTTGAAAGGAGCTGAGTGTCATGATTATGGGCGCGCCAGAACTGTACCGTAATACAATGACTTGTCACCATGTTGCCCTTGAGGGAATCCTCTGTGAGCAATGGGTTGCCAATAAGCTTGTGTGTATGGGGGACTCAGCTCACAGAGTCTGCCTCGATTTGCCCGTCAATCTGGCGGCAGTTCCCAGTCGGTAAAGGATGCATGTCCTGCAGGCTTCCCGGGTGCTTCACTCACCATTGAGGTATTTTGGCCCGTGTGCAAGCTTCTTCGTTTTAAGATCTCGGTAATGGGCTGTTTCCTATTCACTGTCCAAGAAGCGGAGCCCAGGATCATAATTTTTAACTTTACTCCAGTGTGATACTAGGCCACCTCAGATCTGTAATTAGGCCTTAGGCCCTAGCGCGTAGAACCATGCGGTCTATTCAATTCGACGAGCCCCGACCCAGAGACTGACAGCTAAAGAAACGCCCGAGATTGCACAACCAAACGCCCACACAATGCGCAAGCTATCCACATAAGCTGATCGAATCTCGTTGATGGTCGCTTCGTCCGTATTATGCAGCAATACAATCACGCCAAAGACATCGCGGCTATATTGACTGGCGAGCTCAGTGAGACGTGGAGAATGTGCTAATGCCACTTTCAACCGATTCTCGAAGATTACGCCGCCGATGGCAACTCCCACTGACTGCCCAAAGCTGCGGAAGAAAGTGGAAAGGGTAATGGCAATGGGTACGAGATGTGATTTTGCCGAGGCCTGAACTGCAAATGCCATAGCGGGTACAACCATACCGAGCCCTATTCCAGATACTAGGTCGAGAAAGATCCACGCTGGGATACTTGTATTGACGCTAAGAAGACAGAGTAGTCCAAAGCCCAGGGTTGATAGTGCCCAGCCTCCCCATATAGCCCATCGATACCCACCGATGGCAGAGATGCAAATCCCAGTGCCTGCAGCGACGGGAGCTACAGTTAATGTAGCAGGGAATAGCGCCACACCGGTGATAATAGGGTTGTATCCCTGGACTGCCTCGTAGTAAAGCGGGAGATAGTACAGTCCGCACCAAAGCAAGAGACCGAGGGTGAAGAACCCACTCAGGGAGATAGTCGTGGACTGATCTCGGAAGACAGCTGGAGGAATCAGTGGATTTGAGGCACAGCGACTCTCGTACACTGCAAAAGCCACAAGACCGAGAACCCCGATTATCAATGGAGTCAAGGTATGCCATGAACTCCAGGGGTACATGATCCCACCCCAAGAAAGGGGAATTAAAAAAGAGCTGATGCTCGTGAGGAATAGAATCATGCCTAAGTAATCAACTCGCCGGAGCAGAGCCCAGCAATTGTCAGTGACGCGCGAAGGCGGGAAAGAAAACACAAGGAGAGCAGCCGCAATGCCAATGAACGGGAAGTTGATATAGAAGATCCAACGCTGAAGATAGTGTCAGCCAGATGAGTGCTTCAAATGGTCTTCTTCAATTTACCCAGGTTGACCTCTCTGCAAAGCATCCACCAATGACAGGGCCAGTGACAGAGCCTAGAGCCCACATAGCACTAAGAATGCCGAAATACTTTGCACGGTGCTTCAAAGGCACAAAGTCTGCAATGATCACACCCGTTAACGTAATGAGGCCACCACCTCCCACCCCTTGCAAGGCACGACCGAGGAGGAGACGGAGCACATTGTTCGCAGTCCCTGCCAGAAGAGCACCAACGGAGAACAAGATAATGGCCAAGTGAATGAAGATTCTGCGGCCAAAAATCTCAGATAGAGACCCAAATATTGGTTGGAAAACTGTTTGTGTCAACCTTGCTTTGCCATTTTCGAGCGACAACCGTGCACTTACTTGCAGAAGATAACAGGTATGAAGTCCCCATCCAGAAAGCTTCGATGGCCGAAGCATTCAACTCATTCGCGATTCTCTACCTATCGTGTAAGCATGGCTACTAATTTCGTAGGGTGAATTACTCACCGGAAGAGTAACAGATATAGAAGACCCATCAAGTGCCGCCATCAGGCTAAGGCACATCATTGCCGCGAACGAAAGGGCTTGCTTTTTGGCGAGACGAAATTCATCCCCAACGACATCACTCATCTTTTTTCCGACACCTTGGATAGAATTTGCTGTTGAAGACTCCCTTACAACACACCATGCCCAGGAGGTCTATTCTGAGCGGTAGATTCGCAGAACACAGGCTGTGTTATGTATCGTGCTCTAGCAGGATTCACAATCGTCGGTAACTTCGACGTGCAGGGCACTATTGAAGCCTACCACCGAATAGGAACTCTGGTACCCGTCGCTGCGCGTTAAATTAGGACACGGTAAGCCTGTTGACAATTTTGAGGAATGATCTCCGTAGAGCCTGCAAGGGGGCATTCTTCTAAGTTGTCAACCTTGTCAGAATCGCATTCATACCCAACCACCGAATAACTTTGTTAGCCGTCCTGTTGGCGATGTTTGAGGAAAATGATCGCCGTGGAACCTGGGTGAGGAAGTTTGTTGTAAAGCTAAGAGCCGATAGCTCTTTCAATTCTAACAGCGAACACCTTCATATTGTGGCTTTCACTCATATAACATTCTAATTTTCGCTTCACTTTTGTCAGAGCTTTCTCATTGTCGTACTTTTCAGCCTTGCCAAAAGCTTCCCCCTTGTGATTCCTTAACCCAAGATGAGTTCCTGTGGAGAGGATGAGGCTTCCCATAGCACGCAACCCATCGCGATCGTGGGAATGTCAATGAGACTACCTGGAGGAATCAAGACATCGGAGCAATTTTGGGATATGCTCATTCAGAAGAAAGACGGCCATGGCCAAGTTCCCCCGAGCCGTTACGATGTAGACAAGTACTACAGTGCAACTCCAAAAAAGGGCACAGTCTATACAAGAACTGGCTACTTCCTCGAAGATGATCTAGCGGCCTTTGATGCAGCATTTTTCTCCCTCACGAAAAGTGAAGTCGCACAGATGGACCCACAACAGCGAATGCTCTGCGAAGTGGTGTGGGAATGCTTCGAGAACGCAGGCCAAAAGGGTTGGCGCAGCCAGAACATCGGATGTTATGTAGGTGTTTTTGGAGAGGATTGGTTGGAAATCTCGAGGAAGGATACGCAGGATGTCGGTAGTTACCATGTTATTGGTACGGGAGACTATGCGATTTCGAATCGCATTTCTTACGAGTATGATCTAAAGGGACCAAGTATGACCATCCGAACTGCGTGCTCCTCTTCCCTTACAGGCCTCCACGAGGCATGTCGGGCCCTTCGCCAAGGTGAATGTGTGGGGGCTATTGTGGCTGGAACGAATCTCATTATGGCCCCAACTACCACTATTGGAATGTGTGAAGTTGGCGTGCTATCCCGAGATGGGAGATGCAAGACGTTTGATGCCACCGCTGATGGCTACGGGCGAGGCGAGGCCATTAATGCAATCTACATCAAAAAGTTAGACGACGCTATTCGAGATGGAAATCCCATTCGTGCCGTTATTCGAGGCACGGCTGTTAACTCAGATGGACGAACCCCTAACATTACTTACCCTAGTGCCACAGCTCAGGAACAGTTGATTCGTAAAGCTTACAAGTCAGCAAATATTGAAGATATCTCACAAACTGGGTTCTTTGAGTGTCACGGTACAGGAACTGTCGCAGGGGACACAGTCGAGACTATAGCGATTAGCAAAGCCTTTGATGGAGAAGGTATCATTCTAGGCTCGGTAAAACTTTTCCTCTTTTAAACAGTCGCAACGTGTTATGATGAAACTGAGAATCTTTCCAGGTCAAAGCCAATGTGGGACACTCAGAAGGAGCTTCTGGTTTGACCAGTCTGATTAAAGTCGTTCTAGTGTTGGAAAAAGGGATCATCCCACCGAATCCCTATTTCACGATTCCCAACCCAAAGAGTAAGTACTCTGCGGCAGGTGCGGAGGGGGAGATAATTGTTGAATAAATATACTGACAAGACCAATCAGTCCCTTTCGACGAAGCGCACCTGCATGTCCCAACCGAACCTACCTTATGGCCACAAGGGAAGAGACTACGTGCTAGTGTCAATAGCTTCGGAATTGGTGGATCAAATGCCCATGTAAGAGTAGTCTACTGTGAAGGAAACTTGGATCATTTACTTAAATTTCGAACAGGCGATCATCGAGGCAGCCACATCCGCCATTCATGAGCCGAGCTTGTGTGAAGGCCAGTATCGAATCATTCCGTACTCAGCCAACAGCAAAGTCTCTTTGCAACGATCAATCGATGCGCATGCGCAATATATGGCCCATAATCCTGACCAGATACGCGACGTTGGCCATACCCTAGGTGTCTGTCGAGAAACCCTCAAGTATCGAGCCTACACCCTAAGCGGACCCAATGGTGTTCAGAAAATATCGCACACTTCCCGATTGATGGGTTTTAAAAGAAATCTAGTATTTGTGTTTACTGGTCAGGGAGCACAGTGGCCGGGTATGGGCCGAGAATTGATGGCCTTGAAGGCATTTCGTGAAACCATAGTCACCATGTCACGCACGTTAGAGCAACTTGATGACTGTGGATCTTGGTCACTTCTGGGTATGTGGCCTATTTGAAAGTAGATTAAAGTCAAATGGTTAACCAACATGAACAGAAACGATCACGACAGAGCTTACCGCAGCCGAAATGGAAAGTCCCGAATTGTCCCAGCCACTGTGCACCGCACTACAAGTTGGTTTAGTTGAGGTGCTACGTAGTTGGAATATTCATCCGAGCGCGGTGGTCGGTCATTCAAGTGGAGAGATTGCGGCCGCATACACGACAGGAGCTATAACCGCGGAACAAGCTATCAAGATTGCCTACTTCCGTGGCCAAGTATCCAAATTGCTACGAACTGAAGGAGGCATGGCCGCAGTGGGGCTTAGTCGTGATATAGTCGCTGACTACCTGGAGGATGGTGTCATAATTGCATGTGAAAACAGTCCAGAAAGTGTCACGATCTCTGGTGATAAATCTACTGTGGTCAAAGTGCTATCGCGTATATCAGAAGCCTTCCCTAGTGCCTTTTGCCGACACCTCCGGGTCAAGGTGGCATATCACTCTCGTTAGACTCCCACCTGAGTGTCAAACGAACTCTTACTAACAATAAATAGATCACATGAAAGGGGTTGGCGAAATCTACGAGCAGCTTTTGAACTTTGTGGAAGAACGGAACCCGGCAATTCCATTTTACTCTAGCGTAACTGGAGACATTCTAGGAAGTGAACTAGGCGCTAAGTATTGGCGCCAGAACTTAGAACTGCCTGTGTTATTTAGCTCTGCTGCCCGGTGCCTTTTGGACCAGTTGCCGAAGAGCGAGGATACCGTCATGCTAGAGATTGGACCACATGCAGTCCTTTCTGCTCCTTTGAAACAGATCTTTAACCACAAGGGAAACACCTCTATAGTCTATCTGCCTACACTGTCTCGCGGCTCTGATTCTTTAGTTAAGGCTTACGAAGCCGCCGGGGAGTTGTATCTTCAGGGCATTCCCATTGACTTCTTATCAATCAACGGCCCGGGGAAGGTTCTCACTAATCTTCCTTTGTATTGCTGGCAGCATGACTCTGATCAACATTGGTACGAGAGCCGTCTCTCGAAAGCTTGGCGACACCTTGCGTTTCCAAAGCATGAGATTCTGGGCTCACGAATTTCGGAGACTGGTGAACTGGGCTTTGCATGGCGAAATGTCCTATCTCTGGGTGATATGAAGTGGTTGCGAGACCACAAGGTGTTCGATGACACCATTTTCCCTAGCACAGCTTACATTGCGGCGGTAGGAGAGGCAATTCGTCAATTGACAGGAAGACGAGACTACACCATTCGGCGCCTACTGGTCAGGACACCAATTATTCTAAAACAAGAAAGAGCTACAGAGATAATAACCTCATTTAACGTGATACCATTGACAGAGTTCCATGACTCGGCGTGGTACAGCTTCAGTATCTCTGCGTTCAACGGTAATTCCTGGATTAAGCATTGCACAGGCCAAGTGAAACCTGGAAGCGATCAAAGCCTCGTTGCTAATACTAAGTCTCATATGCGCGAGGTTTCCTCACAAGGGTGGTATCAAGGTCTGAACAACCTTGGACTTGACTACGGGCCGACTTTTCAACGCCTGGCTGGGATTAGGGCCGATCCATTGGCCAACACAGCGTCGGCAAATGTTCCTTACTCAGAGGAGCTGCACCAAACTCACTATTCGCTACATCCGACGACTGCTGACTGTGCTCTGCAGCTATTATCTGTTGCAGCATGTCGAGGGCTCCGCCGGAAATTGAATCGATTAGTCGTGCCCGTCAGTATAGATCACGTCTACGTTGATGAAATTGCATCCACGGTCCATCTCCTGGCCTCTTCCGAGGAACTTGAGAATAAGAAGCTGAAGGGCAGCGTCGTAGGAACCATTGATGACCATGTAGTATTCGCCTTCAATGGATGTGTGTTAGCGCCCCTGAATGGTGAAACAAGCGACATGGACGAAATTGAAACTCTGAATATTTCCCACCTGGAGTGGGCTTCTCGCCTGGAGGATCTTCCTGCGCCTGACCTTATCTACAACACCACACCAGCGGCATCTATGATTGTATCTTGTGAAGAGCTAGCGGTTCTCTGCATGCTTGAGACAGTGCATGAGCTGCAATCTCAATCATTACGACCTGAGGCACCATACTTACAGCAGTATATTGCGTGGATTCAAAAACAGGTCTATTCAATGATTAATGGGTCTTACGACCTGGTTCCCAAAGCCCAAGAGTGGTCTATGCTTGGCTCACAGCACAGAAGAGTCTTAATACAGGAACTCATCGACGACCCAGCGAGATCAAGGTGCACCGGTATAGACGCGCTCATCGTTCGTGTTTATCACAATATTAGGGAGCTCTGTAATGACTCGGTTTCCGGGATAGACCTGCTCTACCAGGAAGATGGTTTAAAGAATTTTTATGACGTGATGGCAAGCTTGGATTTATCTGGTCTGTTCTCTACGCTTGGGCATGAAAACCCCTCCCTTCGAGTGCTGGAAATTGGGGCAGGCACCGGGGGTACTACGGCCCTTGCCCTCAATGGTCTAAACCAGAGCAATGGACCTCGTTTGT